TACCTTGTCAGGCAGTAACAGTACTGGGGCGGTACTGAATCGTTGTTTTAACGTGTCGAAAGCTGTCTGACATTCTGTCGTCCATTCAAAAGGTGGAGATCCAGCGGCAGTGCGCGTAAGATTCGTCAATGGTTTGGCAATATCCGAGAAGTTGGCAATAAACTTCCGATAGAAGTTTCCAAACCCTAGGAAAGAGCGAACACCTTTTACCGTGCTTGGTTCAGGCCATTCTGCAATTCCTTTAAGTTTGATAGGGTCCATGCCAATGTAGTTTTCTCGAATGATCATGCCTAGGAATTCGACTTCTTTAACATCAAAGAAACACTTTTCCGGTTTAAGGAATAAGTCGTTGTCTTTGAGTCGTTGGAGTACGCGTCGGGTTCGAACGTGATGTTCTTCCAAATCGTTTGAAAAGATGAGGATATCATCCATGTAAATGACTATCCATCCCTCATCGATCATGTCCTTGAAGAGTGCGTTCATCATCATTTGGAAAGTCGCCGGGGAGTTGCAGAGTCCAAAGAACATGACCATAGGTTCGAAAAGTCCGCGATTTGTCTTAAATGCGCCCTTCCATTGGTCACCATCTTTGATTCTGACATTGTTATATCCGGAGCGTAAATCCATTTTCGTAAAGATCGATGCGCCTTTGAATTGATCCATAAGGTCAGAGATGAGCGGAAGAGGATAGGCGTTCTTCACCGTCCCTTCATTCAGGTATCGGTAATCCTGACAAGGACGTAGTGCTCCGTCTTTCTTTCCTACGAAGAAAAATGGTGAAGCCATGGGAGATTTTGACAGTCGGATGTATCCTTTTCGCAGATTTTCTTCCAGGAAGTCATCCATTGCTCCTTGTTCTTTGAGCGATAATGGATAGACTTTACAGTCGCGTGGAATAAAATCGGGTTTCAAGTCAATGGCGTGGTCCCAAGGCCTGGTTTCTGGAAAGCGTTCAGCTGCTTTCTTTTCAAAGACGGACTTCAAATCGTGGAGGTAGTTGGGGACCAACTCCTCGACGGTTTTGGGTTTGTCTACAGCTGATGCTTCTTTGTGTGCCTGTTGTGCCAATTCTTGTGATTTACCGGATGGTTTGTAAAAGACCGTATTCTGTGCGTTACAGAATAATGGGGATCGAGTACTGTGTGTCATTCTTCCAATGGCGGGGCCTCTTCGTATGGTGAAGACTGCGGTTTCAGTCTCTTCATTCGTCAAAGGTGACTCCTTCCTGATGGGTTCAAATATCCCAATGACTGGCTCTCCTGCGATATAGGATATAACTAGATCGTCGTCATCGAGCTGATCCATAGGGGATTCTGATGGTAGGTCATCTAGTTCGGTATCATTCCGCACTGCGGGTAACTCGCCACGCTCAGTGTTATCGGTCATGATTTCTCTGATAGATTCCGAATGCCCAAACAAGGTAGGGGAAGTTTCGGTGATGATTAGCTCTGAGAGTCCATCTTCCTTGAAAATCGAAACTTCTTTATCTGGTGCATCTTCGACGGTGGGTTTCGGTGGCCATTTGGCCTCTTTACCAAACCAAAAGTCACCGGTTTCCCAGTTGATCATCGGATTGAGACGTTTAAGCCACGGCATGCCGAGAAGTATGTTTTCTTTGCCAATGCCGGTCAAGAGGAAGCGAGTAAGTGTCTTCCTTCCTCTGATTTTCATCATCTTCCAGGTGCAATGAGTAATGGTACCCATTTGATTTGGTGTGCCGTCTGCATTCATGACTGTAATCGGTTTCGGTAATTCCCATCTGATGAAATCGTTTTCTTCCGCAAAACGAATGTTCATGAACGTTTCGGCTGCACCGGAATCGATCAAGGCTTCTGTTGTAACGTCTTCCTTCTCTCCCAACGAAATATTCACAGTGATTGAATTTCCGCTAGTGTTACAAATAACGAGGGGAGATACGGTAAGATGTGACGGTCCATGCATTACTAGTGGCCGTCGTCTCAAAAACCCAATTGGGTTCGTTCTTCGTCAGTCATGTCGTTGAAGACGTTTCGCACATAGGCGATCTGTTCCTCTCTGGTTTCTTCCTTCGACGTCTCCTTCTTCTGTGCGAGGTCTTCTCGCATCTTCTTGATCCATGTGATCGTGTCTGTGTCTAACCCGGGCTGTATCGTTCTAGCACGGGTGAAACTTCCAGACTGGGGGTGAAATTGTCTGTCGTTGGCTATATGGCCCTTCTTTCCGCATAGGAAACATAATCCTTCTTTCATTCTCTTCTGTCGCTCGTCTGGGGATAAGCGCGAGATATTGACACGATCAACATCCATCGCGTTTGGATCCTTTGCAGAAGCCGAGTAGTAGGGGCGATGGACAGATCGGCCCTTTCCTCGTGTCGTCGTAGTGACTCCTCGCTTGAAGATCTGAGCAGATCTCCATTGGTTATCAAACCGCGAGGCGTATTCGTACCACTTGTCAAGTGTCTTGGGCATGCTTTCCATCCCATATATCCTTTGTCGGAGTGGGTCGTTAAGTCCCCACTTGAAATACTCGATATTTCCGGCATCTTCTAGTTTCGCCTTGGATTCAAGCGATCGGAATTCGGCAATGTAGTCGTCCGCAGTACGAGTTCCTTGCTTGATGTTACGCAGCAAGGTACGAGCGGTTTCTTCAATATTTTCATCGCCAAATGCTTTGTTCACACTTGCAATGAAGTCTCTCCAACTCCCATAAGAAAGGAAGTCATCATTGGTGAGTTCCGTTTCTATGAAGCTCTGTGCCCATGATCCTGCTGTTCCTCCTTGCATGTGCGATAGCACGAATGCGATCTTCTGATTGTCCTCCTGGTAGACATGGCTATTTCCGGCCATGTAGTTCTTGCATTGGTTTATAAATTCCCTAAGCTTCGAACGGTCTGAACCGTTGAAGATCTCGGGTTTTCTAAAACCAAGTTCCTTCTGGCTAGCATGGTGACGTCCTTCATCCATGGTAACTGTAGCCATCGGTGGTATGTAATCGGGTACGATTGGTGCAAGAGTCGGTTGGGGTACAGGATTCTGGGCAGGGGGGTTCCAAGGGGCGTCTGGTCTTTCTCCTGGATAGGAGGTCATTATACCGCTGTCTGCGATGTGCTGGAGCACTATTCCACCAAGATTATGGGGAAGTGTCCTTTCAAATTCCTCTGGGGAGTAGTCGAAGTTGTGATTGTCTGGCCTGATGAATACAGGCCTTCCTCCTATGAAATGTGCGTTTCGTTCTGTGCTCCACTCCGCTTGGGATGGGAGGTGCTCGCGGTACTGCTCTGGAAGAGCGGTCGGGTTGATGTAGTTAAAATCCAGCGTGGATAAATTCTTCTGTGTGGCCTATGTCTACACGTAGACTGCACACCGTCCTTAACTAAGTGGGTTCGTTCGTCGTCGGCTAACAAGCCCGTAGAGTGTCTTCTGTCTTCAAACTGATACACCTATTTGCTGATTGCTCGAGTGATTACCTCAGCCTCCTCAGCCTATTGGTCTCTCGGACAGACCCCTCTCCGAAGATGAGTGATCAGTCTATCCCTTCAGCTACCTCGATTACAGAGTAATCTCAAACGGTGCTTTAGCAATCGAATCGGGTGTATCGTTCAGTCTTCAAGGTTCGGTCCGGTCGGTAGTTCGTTGTTAGACTCTAGGAAGTCACAGAGAGTAATAAGATCTCGACCTAATGTTACGCGGCAGCGAAACACGAGCGTCTAGTCGAGTCGTCACGAGACAAGGTCTTAGTCTAAGACACAAGTCCGTTCAAGTGACACTTCTGGCGATGTCCTCGCACTGAAGGTCGATCAGAGTTCGTTCTTATGACTCGTAGTAGCTGTCTGCTACTGACGGTCAATCTCAGTCAAAGGCAAGTGAAAAGCTGGTTTAATGGTAACCAGGTCGAGATGGGGATCCAGCTCGACAAGGTCGTTTACTTATACAAAAGGTATCCGCAGTACTACGCAGTAATGCGAGATCGTTCATTGGCTAGATAAGGTGAAACGATATCTGGGCAAGGTAACAGCGAGGAAGTAATATGTATGAGAAAGCTGAGTAAGGTCGTGAGAGATAATCAGTACTAATGGGGATAACGAGTCGTGTATCAGAACGAGGTAAAGATGAGGCGTACATGCACGTCTTGCATGCGCGATAAGAAGAAGGTCCGGAGTTGGATCCGGTGTAACCCTAGACTAGGGGTTCTGGACATCTGGGTAAAGAATCGGAGGTTGCGCTCCAATGAGTCACGTGTTGGATCACGTGGTCTGGTAACGTAAAGGGAACAAGGAAAAGAAAAAAGAAAAGACGCGCCACAAGTGGGGAGCGTTGTAACAAAGGACACCACAGAAGAAGGGGGCTCCGACACCGAGTTGTTGCTCATGCGGCACCTCTTGCTCAGACCTATCAGCCCACCACCATAGGTGTAGTTCTCAGCGATCAGTCCACCGCCATGGGCATATTTTTCAGTGATTGATCCACCGCCTAACAGGGCAATGATGGAGCTACCACTGGCCAATAATTTCCTCGTAATCCACCCATCATTCCCTCCCATTCTGGTTAGCTCGCTATCAGCTCTCCTTGCAGTATCACACTCTCTCCCACTGTGGGAAGGGTTAGCGAACTGTGGCGAATATCCTTCGCCATCTGAACATGGAGTTCAGAATGACTTCGCCAAACTCTCCCAATTGGCATCGGCATTTTGAGACATGCATCAGATACAATTTGGGATGTGCCCTTCTGGGTAGAGTATGTGGAGATGAATGGTGGTCCTTTCCACTGTGAGTAGGGTTGGCGAACTGTGGTGGATATCACTCGCCATCTGAACATGCAGTCCAGAATGACTTCGCCAAACTCTCCCATGTGGCATTGGCTTTTGAGCCATGCATCAGATACCATTGGGGATGTGCCCTCCTGAGGAGAGTATGTGGCTACTATGTTTCGCCTTACCACACCAGGTACATTGCCCAGGTTCAAAGACATGACAATCTTATATTCGACACACTACAGCACGAACGGACGCCTGGCATTGGGCGATTACATTCCTAACTCACGCAGCTGCCGCGTCGCCTCCTGCAGCTTTTCCAGCACCACATCCAGGTTCTGATCTGTCCTCTCGTGCAACCAACTAGTGAGGTTCACGACGCGAACATGCAGCTGTTCAAGCTGCACCAGTGTAGACTCGGAGACGGTGTACACCTTCTCCTACGTTCTCGAGGTTCAGCAAGACTGTAAGGTGCTGGAACGTACCACTCACCCAGGGATCACCAAGTTTGTACCACCAGGCCTCCATAGGGCTCCCCGCTGGCCCAACCTGACGATCCCATTTCCACCAGTAGTCGGGTGAATCCTCGAGTAGGTTCTTAGGACGAGGAACGAGGGTGGTGGGGCGTGGAATTGCCTTGACGTCAATGCTAATGGGTGCAGAACTTCACGATTAAAAGTGCAGATGGTGAGGACACTGGCAATAACTCCGCCATGGTCAATATGGTCAGCATGACCTGCCAACGCGAGGTCGCCACAGATACCCCTGACGGCAAACTGCACAGGACTCAGCAGGGTCAGGCGATATCAGCAAGAAAGGTGTACCATCTCCCGGCGCAAGCCTTCCTCCCAACGGACCTTGGTGAAGTTATCTGGGTCAGGCTCCAGTGCCAGAACAGCTTCTTGGATCCTCCAAGTGTAGACTTCCAACTGCAACCTCCCTCTGGAGAACAGGCAGGGGCGCGCATCTGATGTTGAAGACTGGGCAGACATGACGGTGAGTGGATGATCTGAGGTTGATATCTGATCGACCTTATCTGATGTCTGATGTCATGCAATTGGAGAGCACATGCCGAGATGAAGCCCTCAGGCGAGGATGGAGGTCACTTCGCCAAATGTGATATTGGTGAGTAGGAATTACATACATGATGATCACTACATCGATATAGCAAACATGAATATGCATACACCCCAGTGAACCCTGACTCAAAGCACATTTTCATCGCCCGCCCTTTCGTCCTCAATGTTCAGGGCGAGGATGTGGCTGAAGGCGTCAGTTGCATGGCTGGCGAAGGTCTGCCACATACTCACTTGCCTGGCGACATAGCAAACATGACCCCGCCAGGAAGGATCCGTCATCTCGAGCCAGTGAGCTCATCGTTCCGCATTCCGCTTGAAGGTGGCTATGGTCCAGGCCATTTCCGAGTGGACCAAGACACGCTCCTCCCTCCATCTCTCATATCGAGCTCTGGCACGCAGCCAATTCACTCTATAGACTGAAGGGTAAATTAGCAGGAGGCCTAGAGATCGATCGGACAATTACGAACACTTGTCCATCCATTCTGATGAACCTCGATCTCCAGCAACATCCATGGTCCAGAACCAAGCCAGGTTGACGTTCCTGAGCCCAGAGGTGCTAGCCTCGATGACGGCAGTCTTCATGTGCAGGTCCTTCTTATCCAAAGGGCGATAGAGGGCCAAGTCTTCATCGGTGGCGCCCAAGCGCATAATGGTGCATCAGTTGGTGGAATAGAGCCTGGTGCAGGCAAAGACGGTCTGATCGGCAGCATGAACCTCCGCCTGTGCACAGGTCATGGTTCCGACACTGTTGGTGGGACGAACCCTCTTGCAGTAGAGGTAAGACTTCAGTCCAAGCGCCATGCGAAGCTCGTGGAGGATGTCATTCATCAGGCCTTTGCGCAACTCCAACTCTTGGGCCGCCAGGGCCTGGAGCCCGTTGGCGATGGTGGCCACGAATCCGATCTGCGAAGGTAAATTCAAGGAAGCTCGCTCGGGAGGAATTGCATCCTCACCATACTCAGCGTCCTCCGGGTGTATTTGAAAAGGATTCTCATCCAAGGAATCCCAGAGTGCACCATCGTCACGATCTTCCATGGCGGGAACGTCCTCCAACCTTCCCATGAACTTCTCAGAGCGACGTTGGAATGTGAGTATGCTGACTTCGAGGCGCTGACGGCGCTCGAGAGTCTTGAGGTCCTCCGCCATGCTCGGATTTTGACCCGCCTTGTGGATATCATTCGCAAGCTTAAGCCTGAAGGCCGTCAGAGCTGTATTTTTGTTAAGATGAGGCAAACTCACTGTGCTTCTTGAATTTTGAGGCCAGTCGACAACCATCCGGCGGTGCCCTTCTCCAAGCCCTTGGTGGACTCCTCGCCAGCCAGTCTGAGTTGGGTGAGGTCTTTACCCGGGGCTTGCATTCACGTCAACTACATGCTACACGACGATGGAAGGATACTCAGCCTTCATGAGCTGGACATTGAAGGTGTCCATGATCTTCGGATCATTTTGGCGAGCCTCTATAGCGTCGTCGTACTCTTTCTGCCATGCCTCAAGGACATCCTCATCTGTGGATGCAGATAAAGCTTCAAAGGACTCCTTGCTTTGTGGGAAGCCCAGGAGCATGCATTTCCACTTTGTCATCAAGGTTGGCACTATAGGCAGCATAAGCCAGGTGGCAAATAGGGAAGGAGGAACCAGGCTCACCCATGCGAGTCGTCTTCTTCCAGTTGGAGTCATTCATGTGATCGTCAAGGACTTCTTGGCAGTGAGCTCGGGTCATGCCCCTGGTACTGCCTGAGACCTCATTTTTCGGCGCCCACAGGGTCTCGATGACCTCGCCATCGACCATACCAGCACCAACTATAAAGTTGGGCGAGAACCGTTGGAAGCAGCAATCTTGGTGTCCGTGCACATGAAACAAGCTGATGCCTTGGTCTACCTTGAGCTCGAAGGGCATCCTCAGATAGGCGCTGTGGCGGAAACGTCTGCGGACATGGACGCCATACTGGCACATGATGTCATACATGATGAGGATGAGGGTGATACCGGTGAGGGTCAGGAGCGCATTGCTGAGAGAGTAATCCATATTCATTTGTCTGCAGAGGGTGCGTTGGTGAGAATGAATCATGACAAGAGACATATGCGAACCTTTCTCCCTTCTGGAAATCGACGACAGTATGAGGGACGAAGAAACCATGTCTGGCGCAAGCAGTGGCCCCGATTCCTGTGGCGTTGAGGTTGGCGCGATCCACATTGGCCTGATTGACAGCGCGGTGCTGACAAGTGGAGCGCTGGTGGGCTTAGGAGTCAAGGGCGGAAGAAGAACATGCAGCCAGACACACACCTGATGCGACTCCATGGCCACCACCAGATGAGCCTTGTAATCCTCTTGGCCGACCATGAATGCCTGGCCGTCACTGAGGGCGACGTCCTCCTCGGGGTGCTTCATCTTCATGTGCTCTGCACTGAAATTGCCATCCATGACAAAGCCGTGTTTGAACTTCCACTGCACTGGATCCGCTTGCCAATTGAAAGGCAGGTTGAGCCCAGGCTGGGGACAGGCGGGACAAAAGATGGCGAGGCCACCCTTCTCCACAGGACAGAGGGCATCATGTGAGAAGCCGTGCCACTTGCGATATTTGGATTGGCGCCATTGGCGGGACACTCGCATCAGCTCACGATAACGGTCCTGGCGAGGAACTGGCATGAAAAGGTTGGGCCATGGGAATGCATGTGAACACTTATGGGAACGGTGCCAGGGAAGGCATTGCTCGTGACCCGTTTGAGCTTGCTGTAGTAGTTCAATGCCGCCGTCTTGCACTCTTTGTTCTCCAGAAGGAAATCGTCGAGGACGGCGAATGTGAAGGTGGTATGGGGATCCTTGACGGTACCAGGGTAAAGTCCCATTTGAAGAAGCTGCATGTCACGCTCCACTGCCATCTCACACTGGCACCAGTCAACGCCGATATGGTGAACGCCAGAGATGTCGACAATGACTATGATCTGATTCCCATAACTATCATGGCGAGGTGGCTGGGAGAGCACCGGTGGCACATCTTCCTCCCAAGTGGGATCAGGAGCATCGTCGGTTTGCCTTGCTTCACTGTCAAGGGTGCCTGCCAGAGGTGCAAAGTTGAATGGAACCTCGCCATCATCTGAGACCTCGCCATCATGTGCATTTAGGTCTTCATTGGAGGCATTCCAGAAATCGGACCCCGGGGCCACCACCGGCGCAGGGTTGTTATGTGCTGTGAAGGCGCCCAGAGGGCAGGGATCTCTGCCATGCCCCAAATGGATGCAGATGCCAACCCGATACAGTGATGCCGGCTCAAAATACTGACCCTGCCAATGCTCTATCCGATGGAAAGGAGCACGCTGATGGCCGTTATGACAGCAGTCGGTACAGGTGAGCGGTCTGCCCATACAGTCCAGACATCGCCACCATCCCTCGCCAACCTTGCATTCTGCACAGTTTCTGGGCTCAGGCGGGGCTTCCATCTCGACAATGACATGAAGATTCTCATCACGGTGGGGTATCCAGTCCCTCATGAAGTCATTCTGGGTCTATCGCGCATGGTCAGACCATCAGATGGTCATGGCAGGAGTGCCCACCTTTGTCTTCCGAGCCGCCGGATCCAGCTGAATCGGCACACCTATGTTGCCCAGGACGTCGCCATCATCCAAGTTAAACAAGGAGCCTGAAGCTGGAGCCTTCGATGGACTTTTGGAAGGCGATGGCACGTTTGAACCTGTGGGCATGGGCAAAGGTACGTCCACATAGCGTACTCCACTAGTGGTCTGCTTAGCTACCTTGGTCACAAACTCAACCTCGTCATCCAGGTCTACAACGAGCCTGCTTTTGTTGCGTCTGCTCATGGTTCAGGTCAGTGAGGAGTCGTATTCCAAGCCAATCGATGAGCATTGTGTCCCTATCGCACAACATGTGCAAATCACACACGGCCTTGCTGCTCACCAGACTACTCATCAAGGTGGTTAAGAATGGCTGCAATGCCTGGGCCTTATCACCTCGTGGTCTCTTTAGGCACCATATCAGCGTTATGCAGATAAGGATGCCATGTTGGCGAGAGGTCCGCCAATCGTATGTCGCCCTCAGTGCTAACTTTGCCTTGACTCGGAGTAGCATAATGTTCAAAAGGGAAACGTGCACTTGCACCATGCACTCGCCAACACTGCCACCATCTGCCCCACTAGCACTCACAACTTCTCGACCGAATACATTTCGCCACCACCTCCGCCAACTTCGAGGTCCGCCAACCATACGCTGCCATCAGTGATAACTACACCTTGAGCTGAACACTGTCGAGATGTGAAACGCGCACTCGTACTGCGCGCTCACCAACCTTCAGCTAGGATTCGGAAATTCGTGACTCCATACATTTCGCCATCACCTCCGCCAACTTTGTCCCACCAACGAAGCTGCCATCGACAGTCTCCATCCCCTGCATAGTGTTCTCGTCTTCATCAGTCTTTGGCATGATGTCCCTCTAAAAAGCGAGCCAGTTAGGACCTGTTCTGAGTTAGGAATGCAGACTCGGTGATGAACTGTGCACATGCCAATGTGTGAGGCGTAATATGAAGCTTGCATCCAGTGGGGCGCCGGAATGCCTAGCCTGTTCTGGACACCCTCTCGCATGAAGTATGCATAGATGAGCCTTTCGCCATCTGCTCGAGTGACGCCATAATGAATTGCCTTTCCACAGAAGGCTATGACGGTTCCAGGACTATAATCGATGGTGACATGCATGGCGGGGAAGTTCAACCACACGCAAGTGTAGTTGCCCAATGTCGCCAACAGGTCGTAGAACGTGTATCTTGTCTTGCTATCTCAGTGGAAAGGAGTTTCCCAGTTGGCGATCACCTGGAGCGCATTGAATGGCGACGACCAGTTCAGTGCCATCTCTCGCAATTCTGGGTCTTGCTGGATCAGACCCAAGCACTGGCGTCATGCGGCATATAGCATTGGGTGAACGACGGCCAGGATGGCACCCAGCAATGCGGAGGAGTCATGAATATCATGCAGCCAACTTCTTCCGCCCTCAAGCTTCAGGCTGGCGGAGGTCTCCAGCCTCCCAGACTTCATATGCTGCAAAGGCTGTCCAGACGCAAGGCAAATGGCGTGGTGAGGAGACCCACCTCTCTTACTTGTTGGAACCAACCTGGCGAGAGACACAAGGAGCCCGCTGGGAATTGGGCACACTCCTCAGGAGGCAAGAAGTACAACGGGTTGTGTCGCCAACTGGCGGTGGTGCTGGAAGACTTACTGGCTGCTATTGCTGGGTGTAGGGCCCTGGTCGCTTGGAGCATCTTCGTCTGACAAATTTGTCAGATCACAGTGCAAGGCTGGGCAAGCCACTCACCTGGCGGTCTGGTATCAACACTCTTGGAAGTATCCAAGCCAAGATGCATCCGTGCATGTCCACGAGGGTGGCGGGCTGGTCTATGCGTATTTCGCTCTCACCAAATGGAGGAGGCCACTTCCATTCCAGTTCTGCCTCGAGGACTTCATTCTGCCCCATGGGCTGAATCGAAAGGCTGTCGCAATATCTATCAATGTCCCACTGCAGCCTTACTATTACAATGGCGTGATCAGTGTGATCAGACCTGCGGCAAGACTAATGACTATCAGGATTACGGATGGCCTTCATAAGAGCATCTGCAATGCCATTGCACTCCAATAGGAGGGCGGATGGCATGGACGGAGGCACTTCTATGGATGGCGCAGAATGGGCTGCATGAGTGGCCAGATGGAGCTTTCGGTGGAACATGAGCTCCAAGACTCCTGCTATCTGATCAGTCAGTGGCATGGGTGACAGATTGCTCATCTTGATACTGTCTGCCAATCAATGGGACGATTACAGCATGCATCGGTTGAAGGAACGCACAGGTGTATGGCAGGCTTAGGCGGTTGGCTTGCAGATGCAGGGGAGAATGTAGGAGGGGCCAGAATGGCAAAGAACAGTATGCATTCATCTGCCTGCATATTGCTTGCAAGCACGTCCCTTGCACATCTCACATGTTCATTATGCCGCCGAGCCAGACTTGATGTCGCCATGCCGGATCATGGGCCGGGTGGTCCGCCATGTCTGGGCCCTTCGTCACCGCCATCTAATTGGCCGAGCCTAACTCTGAGGAAGCCCTTTATCCCACAGATTGGCATGCAGATGATCGCCAGATTGCCTCCGCCCAGCATTCGCGAGATGAAGTTGGCGTGGTGTGCTCTGCCATAGAAGTGGCATTCAACATTGCCTTTCACCAGGCATGAATGCTAGTGCATACCTACTACCACCTTCCGCCACTGCGAAAAATACACATACAATGCTTTAGCAGTCACCACACACCATGGCGAGGAGGGTAATTGGTGTAAGCCCAAATGGGCCATCAGCACGTGCATGTTGAGTTGTGGGCGGCCGATGAGGAAATGGACAAAGTGCTGCCCGTTGAACTATCGACCCCCTTCACTGCCCCAACACAAAAATCTCATCCTCGACATCGAGAAAGCATGCCGGCGAGATTTGTAATTTTGATGGAGCATCAGCCCATACTCTCTGAGAAGCTGCGGTCTTATGACACGGCAGATGCCAAGGGTCGCAAGACTCTGGTTCAGAGCTTGTGCCAGAAGCTGAAGACACAGTTTGTCGACGTGTCAAATTATGATGACATCATTGTGGAAACTGTGAGCAGTGTTTCATGTCTGTGAGGTCCCCACTAACTCTCACCGCAGAAAATCCAAGAGTGGCTCAATAACCACACCCGCCATGTGCAGGAGAAAGCGACGAAAAAGTGTATGCATGTTTCTGGCAAGCCCAATGCCTTTAAGGTGTGGGATGCGCTGGAGAGGGACAAGGTGACTGAGGCCGCACGAGCACTCATGGCAGAAAAGGGTTGCAATGTCTCCAAGGTGTGGAGAGTCGCACGGAGTGCCGAATGGGCAAAACTGTCCGAGGAGGAGCAGAAGGTGTATGAGGAAAAGGCGGAAAGTTGGCGCAATGGCACTCTGGATGATAAGATGAAAATGAAGTGCGTACCTCCTGTCACGTAGCATAAGGCAAATCCTGACCTAAGACAGGCTGAGGGAGCAGCAAATGATGCAATATCTGAAGAAGTTTGCCAAGACTATGTGGGACACCATGGGCATTCGCATGGCATTCATGCTAGCATATCCGAAGGAAGCGGGGAGTCTGAAGGTAGAGATGTGAGCGTAGACCATCCGACTGTCGCCATCTGCTAACCCCCGAGTGAAGGGTGGAGGTCAACCACGCCATCACCAATGGAACTCCATTCGGGGCCTATCCTGGGTGGCTGCGTGCTTACCAGCCTCTAGCAAAGGTGTTCTCTGAGTGGGCCAAAGGCGAATACGGTAAGAAGACCTCAGTTGCATTGTCGCTGGCACACTGACCTGATTCCTTAGGTGTGACTGAGACTATGGTGACGGTGAAGAAGACGCCTGCCAATTGCATGCGGGCCATGGACAAGATTTGGTTGACAGCCAACGGTTTTCCTCTGCTCCCGTCAGTGCCCAAAGGTACGGCGGAAGCGCCTCTCAAGGTGATGAAGGTACAAGTTCGAGACTTCATGAATCATCACTACGGTATGCACTCCCACTCGGTGTTGAGAGATGCTGACCAGTTTACAGCATTGGCGAAGGGTGTTCGGAACTGCAAGTCACCATGGACGAAGCTGAACAGCATAGACGACATCAAATGAGGTTATTCCAGCGGAGAGGCTACCTGAGAACTTCCAGTGGATCGATCCCTCAAAGATGACAAGTGTTCCCGTTCATGCCCTCCTCGACCACTGGCAGGCATGCCAAGAGGAACATGGACCTGAGCAGACCATGCGATTCACTCAGTACTTCGACAAGGATGGTGAAGCTGCTCCCGCCAAGTATGATCCTCTTCCACCACTTGACGGATCAGCACAGGCATTAGAAGAAGGATCTGAACATGAGGTCCAAGAAGCACTCACACCCAAGAAGGCGGGGAAGGCGAAGAAGAAGGGTAAACCTGTGTGCAAGGTCACGGGAAAGGCGGCATCGAAGGCGACAAAGGGCAAAGCGGCCCCTGGCGGAGCCAAAGGCGGTGGGTGTAAACGCAAGACGAAAGATGCATACGACTCGGAAGACGATGCCAGAAGCAGCCAAGACTCTGATCGGAGTTCGCCAGATATACCCAGCATGGCTTCTGAAGAAGATACGGCCAGCGATGAAGATTCAGGGGATGGCGAGAGCATGATTGCGAATAAAGCGAAGGGCAAGGCAGTCGCCACCACCAATGGACGTAAGGCTAACAATGGCGGTGCACCTCAAGCGAGTGGTAGCGGCGGTGCCAAGACGAAGGAAAAGCGAGGTCTCCAAGACCTTCCTCTGGGTGCACTGCACAGATTTGACACAGAGGAGACTGATGAAGCATCGAGTGAACTGGAGCCCAGTACAAAGGAGCTCAGGCTTGAGCTTCAAGGCCAAGCCCCACGTCTCACTGGCGGGAGTACTGTGGGGAGTACTGTGCCCCACCTCGTCAAAAGGAGAGATGTGTTTCTCGCCACCCTTTCCGTCGAACCGCGATACCAGGATATGCTGAAGCAAGTCAAGATTGCGACTGTGGTGAGCTCCTTTCGTGGGGATTCATAGCCACCATTGATCATCCGTCATATAGCCCCAGGTGTATCGTTTCACCAGGTATGATCCGATTCCCTGGAGCGAATGGTCATATAGCCAGCGCTACCTCCCGTCGTCATTTCATGTGGTGGACAACTTTGACATCGTCGAGAACTGGTTGGGCGACAAACCATGGCTGACAAAATATCGGTTCTTACATCCACAGGGCGTACAACAATCTGCACTCGTGATTGGTATGGTGCTGAGGGACCTCACACGATCTCAGTTCATTGAGGAGGGCGAACCGACCAACCTTCCCGACTATGTGGTGAACTCGGCGATCTCATTTGACGCAGTAGAGCAGCTGCTTCGCTGTTGCGAGATCATTACCTTGGACATGGTGGAAGGGAACGTCACCCATGCCATGGTGAAGCCAGTGAGCAAGCCTGCCATACGCGGTGCCCCACAAGGTGGCGATGGCCTTGGGGGCCAGGAGGAGCAGGAAGGTGATGCCTCTGCAAGAACTCACGATGGCACTGCTACTGCTGCCAAAGTTCACAAGGCTCACCAGCCTGCCCCCATGACTGACAAACCAATCATTCCAAGTGGAGGAGATGAAGGGCCGAGCCAGGAGACCAGTGGTGGGGCCTCTGACGATGGCGAAAAGGACGATGCACACTTGTCCGTACCTAGCAGTGGTGCTGAATGACCGCCACCACCTCCGTTTATACCTAAGACAAGGAAGGTGGCAGCCATGGAAGACCGTCCATCAGGTCAAGCCAAAGCGCTCCAGGGAAGGTCGATCACCGATGCCCTTCAGAGTAATATCCCCGGCAGGATCACTCGCAGTCAGCGTCAAGCGATGGATGAGTCGCCCGCCAAGAATACCCGCAGTCAGCATCCACTAGGAGCTGTTAAAGATTTGAAGAAGCTTCCTGATCCAAAGCGGAAACGTCAACCAGCACGTCCCGAGCCCGATGGTGAAGACAGCTCTGGCGAAGACAATCCACCACCTCGGAAGCGTGGACGTGGTACTCGGGACGAGTTGGTAGTGGCCTCGCCGAGGAAGAAGAATGTGAGGGCCGAGGACTCGGATGATGGTGACAAGCCTCCCGCAAAGCGAAGATGAGCTCTGCCTCAGACCCCGGAGGTCAAGGACAAGGGAGAAACCAAGCTGAAGCCGGTCCGTCTGGGGAAAGCAGCCGCCAAAGTGAAAGGGAGTGGCCAAGTTGGCGCAGGTCGCAAGACCCGCAGTGGCGGCACCAGACCTTGACAATATAACTCCAGTTCAAAGTAGACTCGTAGGCTTCCACATTGTTTCACCTTCTATAATGTGACCCATAGATCTACATAGGTAAAGCCATGGAGATGGTGGCGATGGCAAGGGGAGTGGGCAAGAACTTCAGCAGGCATTCAGTTGACTTGGAGTGGCGGTGGCAAATTGAGTGCATGGAGATTCCATGCTAGGTTAAAAAGCATGTATATCAATACTCTAATGACTACACATTGTGGCTATCTGGGCGAAAGGCGGTGAAGACCATGGTGGAGTCGACCTTCTCTCGGAATGCGTCCAGAGACTTCGCCACCAGCGAGGTTTCCTCTCTTGCTGTCGCCACCTCCTTCCCCACCTTCTTCGCTTCATCCAAAGCGGACGTCGCCACCGCCATCGAATCCTCTTTGGCGAGCGCCAATTCCATCTCCAGCTTGCTCGCTTGAGCGATCGCCTCTGCCGCCGAAGACCTGAGCTCCTTCTCCATGCTGTCTGACCACGCTGCCTGGAGCTCCATCGAATGACGGAGGTCGGCCAATTCACCCTGCAGCTTGTCGACGTCCGCTTGGCTCACCGTCTGGTTCGCGCCTTGCTCCAATCTGTTGACCTTCTCCTTAAGCTCTGGCAGGCAATGTTGCTTGGCAACGAGGTCCGCCACCACCAACTTCACGCTCTCCTGAAGCTCATGGTGACTGGCCTGCGAAACTCCTCCATGGCCAACTTGACCTCTTCGCGAATGCTCCGGGCATTTTCTTAAAATGCGGATGGCGGGTTGATTCGCTGGAGTGCCGCTGTGATCTCTGCCTTGACGGTGTTGAGATCCGCCATCCTCTCCTGGAATTGGACTTCCATCCCGTCCTTGTGCGCCAGGAACTCCTGTCGCAACTCGGCACAATTCGCGCAGTTATTGTTGGATGACTGCGAGGTTTCTTCGCCACTGGGGGTGTCGCCTTCATTCATCGGAGCGGGACTTCCTGTAGACACTCGCTGGACATCGCGCAAGTGGGGTGCTGTATCCCTGGTCAGCGCTGCATGGATTCGAAGCTGTGGCGGGCGCACTTACCCTTGCTGGTCAGAGGCACTGCTCTGAGGCGGTTCGCCTTCGCATCCCTTTTCGCCTCCGCCTCCTTCTTCGCTGCCTTGCGGTCCAGTGGGGCACCCCTCTTAGCTGGCCTTTGCCCTTCATCGAGATGTCCTGCCTTCACCAATGTGGAGGACTTCGCTCCCTTCGACACCTTGGATATCTCCAGGGAGGGCGTCACCTCCTGTGCCACCTCGGCAGCTCCTGCACTCGTCTCGTGGGGCATCAGCAGTGAACACCGCCGATCGTCGTGTGGCCGCTCCAAGGACGCGCGCTGTTTCATGGTTACATCGACTCCAGCTGCGACAAGATGTCCTGCTTACCTCATCCTCCGCCACCTCTGCCTGATACTCTGGCGCATCCTCTGGTTCATCAGCAACTGGTGTCAGCATGCGCTTGCTGCTGCTAGCTTGCGGTGGAGCAGCTGGCCCTGTTTGGAAGGCCATAGCCCGCACCGCCTCCATTGCCAGCCTGGCGGCTTCCTCCATGCCATTGCCTTCCGCCAGAGGCATCTTGGCTGCTGCCTTCGGAGCACTCGCCTTCGCCTTCCTGGTGATCACGGGCACCATTGGGCCCGAGCGACCTCCCATCGCCACCCTTGTCGTCTGCCCGCCCTCCTTCGCAACAGACTTGGCAGGCGGGACCTCATCCGCCTCACGTACTGAGGTCCTGGTGACCTCGCCACCATCTTGTGCACCTGAGTTTTGGCTCCTCACCGGCTTTGGCTTGGGTCCTGACTTCTTACCTTCGCCAGGTTTGGCGACCGCACCAGACTTGGCAGGCGCACCAGACTTGGAGACCTCACCAGAGTTGGCGACCTCGCCAGAGTTTGACAGAGCCACAGCTCCAGTGGCGGTGGTGGACTTGGTGGCGCGCTTGGACTTCGACGATTTCTCCACTGAGGCCTCGCCTTCAGCGTTGGCTTCATCAGGCATGACAGTCGCCTTCTGCTTCGTTGCCTCGACCTCCTCGCCACCCTTGACCTTGGAGCTGGATGCCGCAGCATTGCACGTCTTGGTCTTCTTCGGCAGCTTGCGCTTCGACGCTCCCATGACCATGGGTTCTGCACTGTCGGGCTCATCGGAGTCGACCTTGACATCGTATGGAGGTGGCAACGTGGGCAGTGGCTTGCCCTCTACCACCAGTGCTGCGCACATCTCTTGGAACTCATGCTGTGCGGTGTGTGAGTTTCCTCGCAGGGACACGCCGTCCGTGTTCCTCGGCGCGATGCTGCAACTGACGCCTCGTGCTGCACATTCAAGGCAGCAACCGAAGTTGGCGGTGTTGAGCTTGCATGGCCACTCTTTCTCCTGGCAGCCAACACAAGGGACGAGCTGCAGGAACATTAGCACAGGTCAATGTCTCACAAGATCGTTACTCACTGAATCTGTTGCATGTGCCCACATGAAGTCAGACACGCGGGTGGACATCTTTTTCCACATGTCCTTCTGCGACACCATCACCTTCCCCTTCCCCTTCGCCGTCGCCTTCCCCTTCGCTGTCGCCTTCCCCTTCGCCATCGCCTTTGCCTTCCCCTTTGCCTTCGCCTTCGGTGTGACATGAGGTGACGCCGTCATCCTCGTTGTCTGTTTGACAGGTTTGGCAGGGGCATTCATCTTCGCAACACCATCGTTAGAGTCCCCTGCGGTCTTGGCGGGTAGATTGGAAGGCGGTGCCAGAGTCTCGTCTTCGCTTTCGATGAACTTCTTGCTCTTGTATTCCTTCGTCGCACGCTTCTTCTTTGGTGGCTTGACGGTCGGTACTTCCTCTTCATCGCTTGACTCCTTCGCCTTCTTCTTCCCGCTCTTCTTCGTGCTCACCTTCGAGCCCTCCACCTCGGTCTGCGCCATCCTCTTCTGCGCACGCTGCGCTCAACCAGAGGTGGTCGGGGCCTCGCCTTTCTCCTTTGCGACCTCGATCAGCTTCATCCGCTTCGCCTTCAGAGCCACCTCCTCATTCTCACTCTCCTCACTCGACTCTGTGATGACCGCCTTGCACTTTCGGAGTGATGGGGCAGCTGGCGAGATCGATATTGGTCTGGCAGTTGGTGGAGGGGGCAACGTCGCATCGACCTCGATGGATTCGGGCTGGCCTGCACCCGGCACGTCTTCTGCCATCTCATCGTCGTCATCTTTGTCAGCATCGTCATCCTCATCACTGTCGGCATCGTCGTCGTCCTCACCCTCCTGCTCCTCTCCCTCTCCCTCTCCCTCTCCCTCTCCCTCTCCCTCTCCCTCTCCCTCTCCCTCTCCCTCTCCCTCTCCCTCTCCCTCTCCCTCTCCCTCTCCCTCTCCCTCTCCCTCTCCCTCTCCCTCTCCCTCTCCCTCTCCCTCTCCCTCTCCCCCATCCTCTTCCTCGCTCATCGCATGCGCTGCCTTCCCCTGCGCCTTCTCCTTGCTCTTGCCCTTTCCCTTGTCCTCCCCCGCCTCCACGTGGATGATACGCTCACCCACCATGCCTGTCCCAACGTCGTTGTCAGCTCTCTCCTTGCCTTTCCCCTTGGTGATGAGGTCCCCGGTAGCCAGGTCCTCCTCGCCACGTCCCTGGGTGTCGTCATCGGCTGGCACATTGCCCCAGCCCTCCGCTGGCATACTCTTCACCGGTGGCAGCTTGCAATATGGATCTGGTGCAGTCAGTGTGTCGCTCGATGCCTCACAACGCTTGTGACTCACCTTCAGTCCACCACTGCCTTCCCAGGTCCTCACACTCCCCATACTCGCGCACAGCCAGAGGGTACCTCTTGTATATCCTCTCATCGTCGTTCGATATGTGGTCTAGCCACGCCAGGGCCTTCTGCTGGTATGCCCGGGTGAATTCCAGCAACGCGCTGATGACGATCCCAGGCATCCTCAACGACTTCAAGGGCTGCGGGAAACTCTTTTCAAGCCGACTCTGTGTGGCATATTCGGTAAGTGCATGCCAGACCTTCGACCGATGACTTACCACTTCGAGGTAAATCCTCGTCTCCCAGTCCGGATAGCAAGGGTCATCCTGGTGAGGCGCCGCTGCAACAATGGCTGTCAGTCGCGCGGCCTGCAGAACATAGTTGGGGTCAATATCCAGAGGCATGGTGAGCTTGGCAGAAGAAAGCGTGAGGGTGTTTCAAAAGCAGAAGTTGCAGTACAGCAGAGGCGGAGCAGATGACGCTATGAGCTGACAGACGCGATCTGCACCAAGTTCAACTTCACACGCCACGCGACCACGTGCTTTGCACGTGATCGCTGGACTTGCACAATTTCTCAAGTCTCTCAAGGTCAGTGTGACCTGCCGCAAGTTCTCATGGCTCCCAACAGTAAGTTCTATTGCTCTCCTTGTAGAATCTGACTCCTTTGTGATGTTATCTGACCTTTCTATGTCATATCAATCCCCTTTCTACAACTGATCTCCTGCGATCCAGGACTGATCGAAGACTTGTCTGCTCGCCACAATCTACCTGCCATGGCCAGTGACGCAGAACCTCCTGACACGCTGGACATTACGATGGGCGAGTTGGATGAGGAGGATAGTATCGCTGAGCCCCATCGTCCACTCATTTCGGATCTCCTTGACTCTCCTGGATCTGCCCAGATCTCCTTGCCTCTCCACTCTGCTTCTCAGACACCCATCGCGCCCCACCGCACTACCCCGTCCCTGGCAGCTCCATTTGCGCCATCCAACTCGCCACATGAGCATCTCCACCGCCACGCCTCACCAAAGGTACAGGCGTCATCTGGATCTGTGGCGCCTGTGGAGGGAAGTCACGCACTTACTATCACGTGGGGGGAGTTGCGAAATCCAAAAAATCGGCAACACTGCCGTCGCTGCTTCCACACTCAATAAATAAATCAGATAAAATTGTAGGACGATACTATACACCAGTAGATGTGTTCTACCAAGCCAGGGGTTCAGGCATTCCGGGATTGCTGAATGAGACATCAAATACCGCGTTTGCAACTATGGTAGGTGTACTAATATCAAAGATCTCTCTTGATACTGAGAATGACTGACCCAAGTGATGTTTGGGTGATAGCAATATGTGCTACAGCACTGTGTTCCACCATCCCGAGAAGTGTTTTGGGCAATCAGACATGCTTCAGCCTGCATTTTGTAACACTCCCGATGAAAAGTGTGACGACGTATAGCCCGATATGGCACTCACGTGAGCGCTCCGTCCGCGAGATGAGCGTGACATCTGTGTGACAAAATCAGCAACACCACCCCCCGTCAACACCCACCACCGGCATCTTGCCATCTTTCCCTCCTCACCACGAGAACATGTAAAAAAATTTGCAAAATGTAATGTGGAAGTGCATACATCTGCCCATGTAAAAATGAAGACAAAGCATCCCGGAATACAGAAGAGGAAGCCCGAGCGCTCAAAGATCGGTAACTCCCCCCTCATGATAGTATTCCTGACCCTCTGGCACCAGCTTGGGATGAAAGTTGTGACAGTTCGCCAATCCATAGGTGTGCACTCATCTCAGATTCCACCTCCACTGCACCCGGTGGAATGTTCGACTTCGACACTCCTGGCATCTCACCAATCCCTCGACGTGCCCTGTTGGAAGCTACTCCCCTTCCTCCACCAGCTCACACTTTCGACTTTCGCACTCCTGACACCTCCCAACTCCCTCGACGATTGCTCATCACTGAGCCCCTTGACGCTACGCCACATACATCCATCCACTTCGATAGTCAAGCAAGTATGCCGATGGCGAGGGGCATGCTGGTGGATGAGACACTTGACGCAGAACCAGTGCCGAAACTGCTGGACTTTGACAATAGTCCTCCCGCCACACCAGGACGACGGCGAGCTCTGGTGATAGACAGCCCTGGCACAACGCCTGTGCGTAGCCAGGTCCAGTGGCTAAATAGTCCCAGCGCTTCGCCTCCAAAGAGGCAGCCTTTGTTGGACGATGTTTTAAGTCCACCGCCTCCGCCATCGGCGCCCTCTCACTCGCCAGCTCGCACTTTCGATGACAGCAATTTCCGCCATGATGCACCTGTCATTCACTATATGAAAGGCAGCATCGAGCCAGTCACTGTTACTTCCAGGATGCCAAGTCTGGCAGCACTTCCAGATGAGCTGCCGATCCATCGTCCCACCCATTGGGAACAGGTTCCAGGCTTATTCCCAGACACCACACAGCTGCTGCCAATGGCAGTCCCTGGAGAGACGAATGCCGCTTCTGGCTCACAAGTGGCCCGCTTCGGTAGATCGTTTGTGCAGATCGCAGCAGAGGCAGACAGTTCCAGTGAGTACATCCCTGGCAACCTTCAGTCTGATGTTGACCTTATTCATAGTGGACGATGACGAAGGTGATAGCTTTGCAGTTAGTCGTCGTCGTGCCATGTTGTGGGAGCGCATTGTACGTCTTCAGCGTGAGCTCAACCTCACTGAGGATATGCACGTTGCGAACCTTAATGCCAGCTCGACCGTGTTCCAAATGGGGTACATTCTGAGGGACATTCGTGGCGAGGCGTATCGCAGCAACTGAACTAGTGTCTTTGAGTGTTCTGGTGTTAGCAATATATGACTGCTATGTAACAGCTTGTATACCAGTACAAAATGGATACATTCACTTCTGCATCACTAAGCTCTAAAGCCCATCGCTCCTCCAGTGTACTCTTCAGATGGGCGGACTGCGCTCGCTATCACCAAGGCATGTTGTTGCCAGCAATTGGCCCATCGCCAAAGGACCTGAGTGAAAGCTTCACTGCATGGAAATATCGCTCCGTCAGCAAAGGGCCCACTGCCAAGGGTCAGAGGGTTGACCATCGCCAAGCCGTGTTTTCGCCACCAATTGGCCCTCCGCCATGAGTGCTGGTGAGTGATGGGCCCACCGGCAAAGGTCAGAGGATTGGCGATCACCAGAGCACGTCATCACCACCAATGCGCCCGGAAACTGCAGGGCTGTATGTGACAATGGGCCCATTGGTGGTGATGACATATCCTGGTGATCATCAACCCACTGGCCTTTGGCGGTGGGCCGATTGCTGGCGATAACATGCTCTGGTGTTGGCCAACCCTCTGACCTTTGGTGGTGGGCCGATTGCTGGCGGAAATATGTCCTGGCGATGACCTATCCCATGGGTGCTTGCAGTAAGGCCCTCACTGAGGGTGCTTTGGCGATGGGCCGACTGCTGGCAATAACATGCTCTGGCAATCGTCAACCCTCTAACCTTTGGCGGTGGGCCCATCCTTCAGGTTACACTCTGGGCGATCGGCCCACTGCTCATTCGTCATACTCTGGCGGTGGGCCGATTGCTCAGACAAACATGCTCTGGCCATGGCCAACACTCTGACCTTTGGCGGTGGGCCCATCCGTCATCTCATTCGTCATACTCTGGCAGTGGGCCGATTGCTCAGACAAACATGCTCTGGCCATGGCCAACACTCTGACCTTTGGCGGTGGGCCCATCTGTCATCTTACACTTGTGGCGATGGGCCCACTGCTCATTGATCATACTTTGGCAGTGGGCCCATCGATGGCGATAACATGCTCTGGCGTCGGCCCACCCTCTGACCTGTGGCGGTGGGCCCATTGCTTAACGGTTACAACACTGTAATATGCCCTGCTAGTGGGCCGAGCACTGGGAGAAGAACACTAGCGGTGGGCCCACTGCTAGTATCCCACACATGAAAGATATGGGCCCACTGCTGGTAGAGGTCAACATGGTGACAATGGGCCGACGTCCGCTGGCTGTCCAGTTCATGACAATGTCAGGGTAAATGGGAGTTCAGTTCAGGTAACATGACTGAAAGGTGTGTTTGGTTGTCAGATAAGAAGTTTTCGAATACATCGGAACCTGAGCTCTCAGACGCACGCAGAAGGGCTGAAAGTAGCGGTAAGACAAAAAGTGCATCTTTGTTCACATACCACATTTTCAAATCAGGGACAGGTGTGTAGATTATGCCGGGCTGGATGCAGATCCATCACATTCGCTTGCAATCTGCTGGAGGCGAGGGGGAGTTATAGCACCCAATGATGACCAGACATTGCGTGCTGTGGCACAGGTTCATGCACCTGTAAGAGTTGGGATCTCCTTACAGGGAATTGCAGCACAACCTGGCTTACCTGCGAAAAGACCCATTGCCGATGCAGCCTCGCACCCATTGGCGGGGACGACTGCAACACTCTGGTGGTCTATACCATGACTAGATATATGGTAAGTATCCGTTGATGTTTCATGACGCCTGAATTCCCCGAGTCTGCTACAAGCTGCAGGGGTCGAAGCGGCCACCGTAGCACACCATTTCGGACCTAACCGAAAGGTTGATTTCCGAAATGCGTCCCACAGATCTGTTGCACTGAGACGCATCGACGCACCCAGCCTACCCTGCCTGTTAATTTCATCTTTAAAAACTTTCCAGTGCCCTTCTGCGCACGCTGACGCTCTTAATTTCCACATGAGTGCTGAACAATGTGCTCCTTCACTCTCATTTAAATTTAATTCTATCGCAGGTCGCACTCTATGCAAGGAGATACTGGCCCCGTCAAGTCTTCCCTACGAGCCCCATGACTACCAATTAATTGGCGTGTGCCAGGCATTGGACAGTGTCGATGTCCTGGCTATTACACTCACGGATTCTGAAAAACAGGTCTCCTCATCATATTCATCCTGGTAGCTTCCGCTTTAGCTCGAGATCCTATGGTATGGATTGTATTGTCGTAGAGCTCGAGGGCATGGGGAGCCTGAGAACGATACAGTGTGTGGCTATAGTTGTATGGAAGCATATTCACTAGCTAGATGGTTCATGGAGACGCAACAAGTATGATCACAATCTGGAGGTGCCGATGGCATCTGAACGACAATCGCAAACTCCGACACATCATAAGTGAAATGGTGTGCTACGGCTAGGCGGGCGAGTTTGATAGCAGATCTGTATCGTGATCATCCTCCCCAACAAGGTTAGTCTCCTAAAGGCAGACTACAAAATCAGTCCTACGAGAGGTGGGAGGGACGGACTGATATAGGTCTGCTTTCAAATGCGCCCCTTTAGCCGTCGCTCGCCATTTCACTCGTGAATGACGATGCCGAAGCAATGCCGGGATTCCGGCCATGTTGCCGGCCGCGGGTTCCTGCCCGAGACAGTGGTTGTCGCGTCGCGTCAACACGTTCTTGAGGCCTTGTATGCCTTGGTAAAATATGTACTTATACCACAGTCCTGTCGGTAATGAGTCCTCCACACCAATCCGTCACTACGTCCCGATCGCAGACTTGACACGACTGCCCTCGCTTTCACATCTACAATGCGTAGGCTTGACTCCGACCTCTTGCGATGCCATTCAAGATGACATCATGAGAAACACAGTTTTTCCGGAGCCCGTTGGTGTGATTGCGAGGACATCAGCTCCATCTAGTGCCTTGCAGACACCTTCGAGCTGATAATCATGGGGGTCACAGTATACAGATTTGGCCAGGATTTGAGGGCACAAGAGCTGACCTTCAGGTGATCTGAATTCAAAAGAATGCGGTCCAATAAATGTAGAATCTATTACTACATTACGAGGATGGTAGCTGAGTGAACACTTAGAATGAAACTACGTGACGAGGACAACGTCCTCAGGCTGAAGGCGACGTGTCGCGTTCTACAAGATCCACTCCACGCGTTTCAGAGATCAACATGCTTATGTAACTCCGAAATGGCGAGCGACAGTGTTTACCCCTCAAATGAAAGCAGACTACAACAAGGTCACTGTTTACGGCTACCTACGGGAGACTAGAATTCCCCACTGTATGAAGACCCTTCGCACCGAATCCCCCCTGTGCCACTTCTGTTCGTCTTGGACGATGCGCATTTATGTAATAAAACAGTCTTCCCTGTTGGAAATGCCACAGCGGAGATTAATAATGTGGCTATGATATAAAGGAAAATCTATATTTGGGACATGAGCACTCTCTTTTTTGGAACCCATAACCTTCTATATTGGGTAAAAACCCGCCTTTTCTAACACTCCCAGGATTACTGCTTACAGGAGACAAACTCGTGGCACTCAGCTTGGATTTGTCCCGCGGCTACCGAGTGCCAGTACCATTGGGCACATTTTTACTGACCGCTCTTTCTTATTAACAGATCAATCAATAGGAAAGCCTTGTACGGCGGGATTAAAGGCTTTCTACCTTGTCTCTCATAGGCAGACAATCTTCATTGAGTCAGGAGAGAATGGGGCCTAAAGGTTCATCCCCTCTTCATGCCAATTTCACCAGACTCAGACATTATATGTAACAGGTCTCAACAAATCAGATGTACGCAAGTTTTTGCATCCATCAGCTAACTTTTTCTCTTAGCCCCCATGTACCGGTCAGCTGCAATACGAGAAGCTTTGCGCTGGTCAAATAAAGTACCAATACAGCCTTTCTCGAAGGTGTCTCTCATTTTGGATGCACCGGTACGTCTGATCAGCCACTATCCTTATATCTGTAAGACCCAGCGCGCCGGATGCACTTCAATTTCACCCGTCTGGCTGGCGCCAACGCCTTCTGTTGTGTGACTGATACTTGATCGGACCGAAAAAGTCTGTGCTCCAGGCTCTGCCATTCAACGATTAACTCACAACGGGGGCACAGTGCGCATATCTGCAAGTGCCGTTGGACACGTCTTAGTGCAATAGGACAGCCACAGCCAGTTCACGTTGCAGCAGTTTCTTCTGCGCAGCTCAGGCATGAGATCCCTGGCGCACGTTATGCTACTCGACGCCCGTGTATAACACTACCCGTTCAAGGGTAGCACGCAGAGGCTTCCACCCACATGCCGCAACAATCACTGTACTTGCACCAGTCTTGTAAGATGAATTGTCAGTATTCGTTCATCATACTGACAGTTGTGTGGCCTTATGCTGTAGACATACCACCTACACCTGTCTCTACCGATGATGCGATCGGAGTGCACTGAGCACAACAACGAAAGTATTCTGTATCAATATGGAAAACTTTATTCGACGTCTGCGGTATATCCATATACTGACGTGCTTCTGTTGTTACACAGATAGGACTTGTGCTTCTCTGCTTCCAAAGGCTCAAGGTCCGCATGGACGATTTTATACAGCAAGAGGACATGTGAGCATTTTCGAGCCAGGGACTCTGATTTCTCCCTTCTCCAGATCCGTACAACCTGACCGTTTCGCACAAACATGTCACAGTCCACCATCAGCATCAGCATCTTGGAAGTCTCTGCCCCTGTCATGTGAGCTGGATGCTTCGAATTTATCGGTTTCTGCTCGTTCCTCGTTCGATGCTCACTATCCTATCCAAGAGCCTTCTGACAGGTTCTGATAAACAACTTCCTACGACACCCACTTTTCATCCTAACGAACCATAGATTCATCTTGAACGTGATCCCGCCGTGAGGTGGTCACGTATGGCTAGAAAGAAACTGCTAGCAGATCTAACCTTGGCGAATCTGGATGACAATTCTGAACTTCTGCTACAGCATCTACTGCGTCAAACAGATTATTTGGGGCAAATGTCCCTTTTTTCAATGTAGATAGCATGTCTTGACGCTTGGCTACCTGTATCATACATTTGTCAGTGGTGAAAGGGGATTGCATTTCTGTAGCTTCTACTACCAGGACCGATATGTCAAATGCTCATCTGTGATCTATCCTCTGTGTGTGCTTAGTATATACCCGGTATAAAACTGTAAGGGACTAGACGACGATATTGTAACCATGTCTCTCCGAATTGATCCATCAACAGCTTGTCCTCAATTTTCTCCCGTTTCTTCAGGGATAGAGCACTGAACGACGCACAAATAAACCAAGTGTAGACAATCCAATTAGCTGGAGATGCCATGATCCCACCACTCTGTGATGTAATTCCCATGCGAGCAAAATGTTGCCACTGCTCCTAAGAGCATCAAAAACACCGCGGAGTAGCTCGGGTGACGGACATAGGAATAAGGACCGGATGTGATGAGCCTATGTCCGTGCTTGATAGTGACTTCATAGGTGAAGAGCGGCCCGAGGGTCACAAAGCACCAAACACGGAGAAGAGTGGCTAGAATCATGAGGGAAAACCCGAAAAGGAAGGGAGGAGTGAGGGTGCCAATGGTATCAAGGGATGGGGAACGCGCAGGGCACAGATTCGAAAGGATATGTGAGGAATACGGGTACGCGTAGTGGAGTGCGAAGAGGACACCGGAGTTACTGAATGCAAGTGCGGTGATCATGGCCTGAAAATTGTTCAGAATCGCCAACACGTTACAACGCAATGAGAAGCTCACCCAAGTACCATAGACCCATAGGAGAACTGCTCTCTCGAACAGCTGTCCTTTGTATACTTTCCCTCCAACCCCAAGAGGTGGTTGTGGAGGCATCAGATCGATATTGTGAAACAGCGCCGCGAGGAGTAACAGCGCAACTTTAATAATTATCACCATAGTATTCGAAGTAGCAGAGTTGAGAGGAAAGAGGGGGGGAATACTGTTGCGCCAGGCCCAGGGGGACATCGATGCCTTATACGTGCCGAACCCACCTCAGAATCATCATACACTGCCAATGGCCTTGCAGTAACTGAGAGTTTGTATTGATTTCCCAGATACTCCGGTATGAAATGCGCCCACTCACGAGATGAAGGCATTCCATAAAACATAGTTAGCGACCTTCATGCTGGCAGAGGACCTCGGAATATAGGCCAGGAACCCCAGTCAAAATTGACAAGAGGCGCTAAGAGGGAGGACAAGACAAATCGAGTGGCTCGACTGGCCTCACTGGGGCTCGATATTTTGACCATTCTCTTGATTTCAATCGAGCTAAGCTGAGTGCAAAAGAGTGAGACAGAGAGACTCTGGCAGTCTCTGTGTGCCTCGACATTTCCTTCCATTTTTGTCATGAATAATGTAGCCAAAATGAGCGCCACAGAGCGCTGTCGATACGATTCATGAAATTACATAGCTAATATGATACGATACCATCGAGACTTATCGAGAATGCACCCTACCAGCCGCTCCCGCAGCCGAAACCCACCGAGCACCATCGAGCGCCATCGAGAATATGCTTCTGTGTGAGTTCCTACCCTCGAACACTGGAGACCGTCCTCAAGCTAGGTATGCCACCCGCCCTCTCCGAAATGGTGAGACGAGATATACTGGCTTTTTTCTGGTGCCAAAATAGATCAGAATATGCATATCGGAATAGTTTGGAATGAAACACTTACAAGGCACTTCGACTCTTCTTCGAAAGGCTGTCAAACACAGGTTCAGTCGGCTTCAGTACTTTGAATGAATCAATATAACATACCTTCTTCTCCGCGAGTGGGAGAAGATCAAAGTAATGCTTGAACTCCGCCATGGTCCCATTCGGGTGTGTTGTTATCTAATCAACTGCGCACAGGTTTCTGAAAAAGTGCATAGTTAACTGTAGAGATCATCGGTGTACAATGGAATGTACAGCACCTTAGCGTAACTGTATCACCTGGATGCATCTTGGTGCTAGGCCTTTTCGCGGGACCTTTGACGGTGGCAGTGCATGGAGTGCCAGTGTGAGAAGGGCCTGAAGTTGTGGGGCTAGCCGCAATGTTCGCGTGCACTGCGGACACCGCAGCTGCAACGGGTCCACAGTTTGGATGTCCAGCCACTGATTGCATTGCCATTGCTGCCGGTGCTGTGAACGACTCGGGCACTACACCAGTGGCATCGTGACGGGGAGCAGTTGTTACGACCGTTTGGCCTGCAGAGGGAAGCTCCAGCTGAGAAGCACCAGAGGTGTCAATTGGGAGCACCATGGGGATTCTGGGACTTGACAGTGGTGGCGGCGAAGGGCGAGGAGCAACGGGGTCGGCAGAATAAGTGACAATGGCTGCAGCGATGGCAAGGGTATTGAGTGCGGGATGCACGATGGCAGCCATGTTCACTTGACGGTGCATTGAAGATGTGTTCCCCACGGATGACGCTGCGGAAGTGAGTGCGGAGGCGTCAATTGGTGTGACAAGTGTTACATTTACTGAGTCGGCCGTGGGCAAGACATTTGCATGAGCCACATTTGCCACTGAAGTAATCCTGTATGTATAGATGCATCAATCTAAGCACGACAATGAAGACATAAATAGCCCATACAATGGGTTCCGAATCTGTAGTTCAAATGTCAGCCTTGAGCGATTCGCTGTAACTAGTAGACAATAGCATGCATACCTTGAGCATGATGCATCCTTTACCCTTGTCAGATGTGCTACTACCTTCTTCCGTGACAGGGACAATGTTCACAGCATCCGGTTTACCAGAAGTATGCAACTTGCCAATTGATCCACTCGGCTCAGAGCGCTCTTGCTCGATGATGTCGGTTAATACGGGATCTGCGGTCATAATGAACCACTTTCAAAGTAAACACAAAATGGATACTGTACCTGTCTTCGATAATGTCTTGATCTTCTTGCACGTGGACACTGTCAAATGTGCGTTCGGCTCAAAGTCATCGGAGCGAACTCGCTTGCTACCACGGAGCGTCGGTTCCCAGTCCACGGCGGTGTTATTCTCTGCATCTTCTTGCTTGCAAATGGGAGCTTTGGGGTGATGGTGATTGTGCCAAGATGAGTAGTTGTCAATTGCAATCTGCTCCGCCTTCCAGTTTGCTGTGCAGTATCGAAGCTCCGGGAACTGTCTGGCCATCTCCTCATTGTACATCTGTGCAGCAATCATACTTGCCTTCCCCCAAGACTTAGGTGCCTTACCGATTTCCGCGAGGTGTGCCCAGATGGATCTCGCGACCTTTCGAATCTCGCCAACTCTCCGGCCAGTGATTGGGGTGCTGTCTTGCTCTTCGACATACATCATCATGTTGTTGCCCTCATAAGGCTCCAGTGTCTCAGTCCGCTTTAGCCAGCTGTCCTTCATCCACCAGTTAATGAGAGGGTAGTCAGACTGATCCGAGGAGACCACTGCACTGACAGCAGATGGCACTGTTGAAGAAGGTAAAGTAGAAATCGGCAATTTAAATGGATTCGTGAGAGAGAGCGCCTGCGGGATGCATTTCGCCAGAGTCTTATATGCACTCCTGTCAATATTGACAAGTCAAGATGCACATACAAGCAGTTAGTCGGATAGACATACATCATTGTAGTATTCTCAGTGTGAAGGACAATAACCTTGTGTTGGAGCCGCTGATTCTCTTTCATTAATTGCTGTAGTTGAATAGGAACCGGTTGCGCTGTCGATTGACTCGAAGGAAGGGAACTCAGGATATCAGACAAATGAAGGGCAGAGGAAGTTGAGACTATCGAATTGGAAGAAAAGAAGGGATGATTAGAGTTCAAGGTCATCTAGCTCAAGGATATTAGGAAGACTTGTGCGTGACGTGGCAACTACAGAGGACACTCACATTAGATGGTGATATCCGAGAAGTAGTCAAAGGCAGAGAGCGAAGATTAGAATGATTGTGTTTGCTATGCATGGCTGGCTTAAGTTCTGGATTGTCTACACTCATGACAGGCGAGTCAGAGAATGACGAAATTGACTGTGACAGAGTGACAGGTGAATCAGGGTCACTGAACGCATCTCCTCCAGCTTCTTGAATGTAAATAGCAGCCAGACCTTCTCCATGGCCATCCTGAGAGCAGCCATAGGCCAGGTATCGAGATTGAGATGACATCCCACTAATGTAGGCGTGTCGAATCAAGGGACTGGAAGCGAGGGTCGACTGCATTGCATAGTTGCCATATCGAGCACTTTCCGGAAAACATTCTACATTTGGCAAGTTTCTACGAACAGGCAACAACATTGGCACAGAAAGGAGAATATCTGCATCTTCTCAATTCTCCTCTAGTATACCATTGTCATTGTCCACGACCACTTCATCATTCCCACCCATATGTGCAACATCAAGGCCGGGTTTTTCAACAACAAAGAATTGTGTCCCAGCCTCTTCAAATGGGTTATGAGGAACCATTGCAACCACTGCCGTAATTGCCTTCACATCAACAACTCGAAGTGCTGTATCACCCTGAGATGTCGACGACCACAGCGTGTATGATGATGCTTCAAGGAGAGTAGCGTGAGGTTGTGAATAAAGTGAGATAAGGGCAAGTGACTTGGTCTCATCATTGATTGGCATCTGGAAGTAAAATAGAACTTCTGCAAAGCACAAATTATCATCAAGTAGGAGCTGAACACACATATGTACCAGAGAATTAGCTTGAAAAGGTGTGAAGAGGAAGCCTATAACTGACCTTTACATTTTGAGCCATGCGAACATTCCTGAGTGTTTTCTTCTTCTCGTTCCAAGCAGATCGTGCAACTTGGCCATTAGGAAGCTGAAGACGAGCCCATCTGCGAACCAAAGGAGTAGCCATTGCAGCAGAGTCAACTTCCAGTGCATGCATGTCGTGAATGTAAACCCAAAGTGCTACTGCCTTGCATTCACGAAGTGGGCCTGCTGTTCTCTGCCTGGCACGTAAAAGAACATAACCACCACCAAGATCTACTGCACATCTTGGAAGATGATCTTTAAGTGGCTCTAAGTCTGGAATCATGCTCTTGAGTGCATTCACCTGGGCACGACGAAGTCCACGTTGTGATAAATTGGCAAATGGATTTGATGGCTGTCGTATCTCCTGACCAAGATTGCCGATTGTGCGTTCCATGGTCCACTGTGAGGAGCATATTGGAGGACCGAGTCGAACAACTTCCATGCCAAGATAAATGAGGGAGTGGACACATGGCCAAACAAAGTGGAGACGGTCAACTCACCTCTGATAGTAGAGCTGTTCAAATCCAATACAAAACTGAACTAGTGATTTGTGGGCACGCTGTAGGTCCTTGCTCATAATCTTATGCTGATTGATTAGTCGGATGCCACAGACAAGTGTGTAGAAATTCTTCCAGTACTTGTCAGGAAGCACACCATAGAGTAGCCCAGGTCCTAATCCAAAAAGGTAGATGAGAAATTCTCATGCTTTATATCCACTAGAGATTTTCTCCGCAGGATTACGTGGTGGGCGATCAAAAGAGCCAGGAAGGTATGGTGTTGCATTGGCAACTGCTTGACCATGGACTTTCCAGACATCACCCTGGAGGACTGCCCAGTCCCAGGTTGTTCTGCTGTCAGTCCTGTCGCAGTCGAAGATGCCACGCCAGAGTGGAATGAGAAGATCGGGAAGATTGAGTGATGCGAGATGCATGATGTCAGAGCCAAACGACCCAGGAACACCAAATGTGTATCGTGATGAAAAGCCAAGAAATATACTTGGCTTTGTGATTCCAGTCTCAAGACGTCTCTTGCGATATTGAGTCTCACTGGATGAAGCCAGGAGATAGCACAGATTTTCCAAGTATTTCTCTGGGGAACACGATGGAATACTGCTGATATCGACATCTTTGTGGTCACAGCCTTCCACGTCATAGTCCAAAGGCTTGAGCAGTGCCGGATAATAATGTGTACCTCCTGGCTTGTGGCGTCCTTTAGTGTCACAATATAAACGACAAGCTCGTCATCCATGGTGTCCAACAAAGCCATTAAGATACACCATGCCCGGTCCATCAGCTGTAGCAAGGGCGAGGAAAGGGTGAGAAAGGAAGGTGGTGTCGCGCGCAGCATCCCACATACCCAACCCTTCTCGCTGAAGTGCAGCAAGGTGATGGAGCCCTGGGAAGAGGAACGAGCCGACATTTTTGGGTTTATTTGGACCAGAAATGAAACCACCGGTCAAAACATGCCTTCTCTTATAGCGTACATCAGGCGAATGGTTGAAGACCACCCAAATGTAAATCCAGCAGTCTGATGCCTTATTCCTATAAAGCTGCGCTCCATCAAGGGAGAGCATGAGAATGATGTCGTCAGAATTGATACGACCATCCGCAACTGTGCCGAGATAGTCACTGCCATCCAGCAGGTCCTCGTATGATGGCAGAGTGCCATCACTTTGTGCGAGAGTCTCGAGGATCTCCTGGGTCCGCTTCTCATGGTAATTGAGATCTGTTGCACTGGAAGGATTTCGACAAAGTGCTTGCAGTTGTGGGCCAACAGGAATTGTATGAAATTCTTGATGTGCAATTTTCTTCTGCCCACCACTCGCGGCCAGCTGAATAGGGTCATATCGAGGCTCACTGCACTTTGGACAAGTCTCGAGTTCGGAAAATGGGCCAGTATACGCAATACAGCTATTGATACACATATCGTGAATGAGGGAGACAACACCACTGCCTGCGCAACCTGGCGCTTGATTCGGTCATATGAAAGTAGTGTGTCCTCGGGATAGCGTCGCATGATTGCATCGCGAACACTGTTATACGTCTCCTGCGACGAATTGCCAACTGCAAGGAAGAGGTTGAGTGCAAGGTGAAGACCAGGATCGGCGATGTCAACTGTGTTGCGAGGAGGGTGGTGAAGACGTTCAAGAGTGTCTGCATCTAATCGCATTCCCTCATCTTCCAATGATGCACCTTCCAGTGCCCGAATGAACTTCATAGAGAGCTTGGCTTCGGAAAGATGGGCAAGGTCAGTTAGTTCCTCCAAGTCCATGTCCTCTGGAGAAGCAATGTGGATGACATTCGCATGTCCATCGTCGATCGCTGGGAATGATGCAGGACCTCCCCGCACGTCTATATCATCCAATGCGAGACATCCCGGATCCGGGATCTCATCAGGTGGCACTATCTGCATGTCTCCACTTGTGCTCTCCGCAGATCCACATGACCAGCCGGCATCAATAGCACTGTTCTCACTGGGATTCGCGCCCGCGGTCCCGGTTGCAGATGCACTGCCTGCTCTGCTCTCATCCAGGTCCAGGTCCTTCGGATGGCTGCTATCTGTGTTGTCCTCACTGCTTGTGGTCATCTCTGAGATGTCAACTGACCCCCGGCTCATGTCATTGATCTCAACGGAGGCCGGCAGCACACCAAATGTCAACATACAATGTTTCGGAAGGTCAGGGATGCATTTACACACCTCTGGTTCCACTAATTCCCGTCTCCGCTTAGTAGGCTGGCTCTGTTCGCCTGTCATCTGTGACATAGCCCCGCGCTTGTGCAGTGACCCTTCCGTAGATTCATCAGGGTCTACGGACTCCAGGCAGCCAGGCAGCTCGGAAGCAGCCTGTAGAACAAAGCTCTGGAACTCTGTAGAGTGCTGCACCTTGTTGTGACAACGGAAGGTGGAGGGAGAAACAAGCTTGCCGGCACATCTTGTACAATGACAAGGTACTCTTTGCGCAGTAGACATGGCAGACAGATTGGGAGATACAAAGCTTCAATGTATTGGTTCATGTGGTGGACGTACAGCGCCGACACGAAGAGAGACAAGTCGAAGTAACTAAGTCATAGCCGGCAGCCGCCGCAGGTAGCAAGATGCGGAAATCGGGCAGAGTCATGCTACTCGTACAAATTGTAATGTACATAGAGACACACAGAGACTCAGGGAGACACGACGTGCTTGCCGCATGAGCAACATGTACTGCATGTGAAAGTATTCACCCAATCTCTCGACACCTCTCGATTGACCAGAGAGGGTATCTCTCTCCCTCTATTTGTCTCGTAGCGCCTCGTGTCAATTTTGACTGGGCAGGAACTCTTATCCAGCGGAGGCAAAAATGTCTAAGCGCCGAAAGGCTAAATCCAATGTTTTTGTTCGGATTGGATAATGGTTCAGCATTTTTTTGACATCTTTGTCCGGATGGTGGATGAGGGTCCTCCGGAACCACATTTTGTCCGGATGGTGGGATAAGGCTTCAAAGTTCAGTAGTTTTTGTCCAGATAGCAGGATAAGGCTCCAAAAAATCATAATTTTGTCTGCACTATGACACAATGCTGCAAAAATGAACAAACTATGACTCCGCACTAAGATCCTCATTATTAACCTTCACACCCTCAACAACATGTCGAGGAGCACTGCTGCTCCATTGTCGGCAGAAATTAGTATAACAGTGAATGACATGTATGAAACTTGCGGATCCCTGGTGAGATATAGTGCTCAAATGTCGAGCGGGCATTTGCTCTGTGATATCATCAGCCTGAAGAGAAGGCCAAGTTGTGTTGGTGCATTCAATGCTACTGCAGATGCAAAGGAGCTTGTATATGTATCCAACATATCGAGAGTATCGAGAGACTTCAGTACCGAGCAGTGTAACATCGTAGAAGAGCGTACAAGGACTCATTGGAGACCGAATGGCCCGTCTGCACCTGCCAATGCCGCTGTCAGCCGGGCGTCACCCCGACAAGCGCCCTATACTTGGATAAGGGTTAGGGTTGAGCCTCATCGGCATGTCTGGACAAAAAATAAGGCTTAAAGACAAAATTTCGGCCATTTGTCCGGACTAAATAAGGGTTGAGGTCTGATTTTGGGCCCAAATTTGTCCGGATGAGACTAAGGGTTCACAGCCTATTTTCCGAGGTCCTGCTGGCAGGAGGTAGCTGAGCTTCTAAATCTTAGAATCCTGGGTAGCGCTGACTCACATTTCCGTCTGATGACCAAATCCTCTACCAGTTCCTCTCAACCCAAGACTTCTTCCGGGACGTTCGTGGCCGCACTCTGCAGCTCTCGCCATTAGACATAGCGGCCGCATCTAAGATATGCTGATAGGGCTTGCTGGTCAAGAGCACACCGGCAAGTTGCGATCGTCGCGATTCATCGTCTGAGTCCGATGGCGACACAAAAATGCGCATGCGTCGGGTTTGTTATCACTGATCTGTCACGCAGCTGACGTTGTGTGGCGGAGGCTGTGAGCACTTATAGCGTACGTTGATAGATGTTGATGCTCCTGGTGACTTTCTAGAGCAGTCTGAGGGAGGGATACTGACCCGTGCGCATTCTACGATGCAAAGCGAGCAAATGCACGTTTCCAATCTCGGAACGGCTATAGGTGGAGGATCAGTTAAAGGCACCAAGTCGGCTCGAGTCAGAACGCGTTCTGTGGAGAGAGGAATACATAATCGGAAGCATCACCTTGGTCTCCGAATTTTCGCGAGCGTCGAAAGCAGTGGGAACTTCTCGCGGAGCCGGTGGAGTACGTATGACTTCTCCGTGGGTGAATTGCCTATATATAGTACTCGTCCTCGTTCGGAACGGTGTATTCACCTGGTGTCGACCCTCGGTCTTGGTGTCAACGACGTGAGGACATGATGGGGTTGCATTGAGAGCCGTCCGCAGCGATTTCATGGCATCTGGACAGCGACCGGTTGAAGCGGGAAGTGCCTCAACTCGAGGGTGTGCTTCCTCGAGAACGTGTACGAGCACGGCGGATTGCGGTAGGCGCATGGCTTCTCCTCACGGAGCCGATCATTCATGGTTGCGTTTTGTCTTCATTCTTCATCCAACTTGAACGCCATCCACGATAACTGCCACCACTGTACGCAATCTGCCGGCGCTCTTCGCGCACCTTTAAGACGGCTGCTTGGTGGACAAGAAAGACCCGTTGGAGCCCTGCGCAGACGACGCGGGCCTGTCCGGTCGGGGAGAGAGGAGAGGTCGGAGGAGTCGGATGGGAGTTGGTTGGGGAAATGGAGCTCGAGGGACGTGGGGACCGCACTACGGCCTACAGCGCCACCCCCGCGTCTGTCCGCATCTCCGCAGAAGTGTTCCGTTCCGTGAATTTGACGAGGCGATGCGGGGCTGGCTGGGTCGTCGACAGACGAGGGTTGGTGCCCCGCGGACTAGCTGGGCGGCTATGTCTTCGCTAGGGGCGCCGGCGAGATCTCGTGGTCACGCGCCGCCGATTAGGTCTGCGATCGCGAGACCGGTTATATACCGTGCCCCTCTCAGCAGTGTCCATCATCCTGTCCCCCGTCTGCCCACCATGTCCGACAACGACGTACCAGTGCACGAGCCTGTCCCCACACACCCCATTGCCCCCCGCCTCAAGAGCGGCCAGAAAAAACCTCACGTTGGCCCTCATATCCACGCCTACAGGTTATTTTTTTCCCGCATCTTCCAGCCGGAGCTGCCGTGCCTGAACTTTTGATTCGGTAGGGAGCACCATGCGCAGACCGTCGGTCACGAAAGTGACAAGTGGTGGGCGCAGGTGAGCATCATTCACAAATTTTGCATTCGTCTCTGATGATTCCGTGTGCAGATGGCGCGCGAGACATTGCACTGGGACCGGCCATTCCACACCGTCAGAGCCGGCTCCTTCGAGAACGGCGATATCGTTTGGTTCCCAGAGGGCGGCCTGAATGCATCCTACAACTGCGTCGACCGCTGGGCCTTCAAGCATCCGGACAAGGTACGCACCTCTTTTCCGCACTGTCTCCGCTTCTCGCCCCGACTTACACTCCTCGCAGACCGCGATCATCTACGAGGCTGATGAGCCGAACGAGGGCAGCCTTATCACCTACGCGCAGCTGCTCCGTGAGGTCTGTGGCATCGCGAACGTGCTCAAGTCTTTCGGCGTCAAGAAGGGCGACACGGTGTCAGTTTATCTTCCCATGACTTGGCACGCCGTTGCCGCCTTCCTCGCCTGCGCTCGCATTGGCGCCGTCCACTCCGTCGTCTTTGCCGGCTTCTCCGCCGAGTCCCTTCGCGACCGTGTCCAGGACTGCAAGTCCCGCGTGCTCATCACCTCCGACGAGGGCCGCCGCGGCGGTAAGTCTATTGCTACCAAGGTCATTGCGGATGCTGCCGTTAAGGAGTGCCCCGGCGTGGAGCATGTCCTCGTCCTCAAGCGCACCGGGAACGAAGTGCCCTGGACTCCCGGCCGCGACAAGTGGTGGCATGAGGAGATTGCAAAGGTGCCCAGCTACTGCCCACCTGAGATTATGTCCTCCGAAGACCCTCTTTTCATTCTCTACGTGAGTCTTGTGCACCTGGGGTTTTTCTGCGTGGTACTGATATTTTTTGTAGACCTCCGGTTCCACCGGCCGACCCAAAGGTGTCGTGCACACGACCGGCGGGTATCTCCTGTGTGCGGCAATGACCGTAAAGTACGTCTTCGATGTGCACCCCGACGATAAGTTCGCCTGCATGGCCGACGTTGGCTGGATTACCGGGCACACGTAGGTTGCATTCCCTTCCATTCCGGTTTCGCTTGCTTATCGGTTCCCAGGTATATCGTGTACGGCCCGCTAGCGAACGGCGTGACGACGACGGTCTTCGAGTCGACGCCAGTGTACCCGACCCCGTCGCGCTACTGGCAGACGGTCGACAAGCACGGCATCACACAGTTCTATTCGGCGCCTACTGCTATCCGTCTCCTGCGCCGCCTCGGCGACCACCACGTCAAGGAGCATGACCTAAGCACGCTTCGTGTACTTGGTTCCGTCGGCGAACCCATCAACCCCGAAGCGTGGCACTGGTACAACGACCACGTCGGCCGCAGACAGTGCGCAATCGTTGACACGTTCTGGTGCGTCCGTCGGTTTGCGTCGTGGGTTGGGGTAAGCTAATTTTGCGATAGGCAAACGGAGACTGGTTCGATTGTCGTGACTCCATTCCCGGGAGCCATCGAAACGAAGCCCGGCTCTGCGACGGTGCCCTTCTTCGGAATTGAGCCTGCGATCCTTGATCCCATGACTGGCGAGGTATGCGTCGCATGTCTTGGCCCTCGCTTTCTTGAATTGAATGCTCACGTCCTATGTAACACCGCTCGTAGGAAATTAAGGGCGAGAACGTCGAAGGCGTGCTTGTACTGAAGACCCCCTGGCCATCCATCGCACGCACAGTCTATCAGGACCATAAGCGGTACGTTTCCTTTCCCCATCATGCTACGCATGGAGTGAGCGCTGACGCGATCACGTGCAGGTACCTCGAGACGTACATGAAGGTCGGTCCTATTTGATCCTCGTATCTATTCCGAGTTTTCATGACGTGGTGTCCAGCCGTATCCCGGAGTATTCTATACGGGCGACGGCGCATCGCGGGACGAGCATGGGTATATCTGGATTAAGGGCCGGGTGGATGGTGCGTGGGCTCCTCATTCTTCTTCTCTTCTCTTCCTGTTGTTGCTTCTTCCGCGGTCGCCCCTGACTTCTCCGTTCCTCGCTGCGCAGATGTGATCAACGTGTCCGGCCACCGCCTGTCTACTGCAGAAATCGAGTCCGCGCTTATCACCCATAACGGTGTCGCTGAGACTGCGGGTATGTGACCCATATCAGCCCCTGGATGAAATCTGACCTCCATTCTGTTCGTAGTTGTCGGCACTGCGGACGAGCTCACCGGCCAGGCTGTGCACGCGTTCGTCACCCTGAAGCCGTACGTCTCTCGTCAAGGTCTTCGTCGACGGATTGAGTACTGACGCACCTTGCAGGGAGTTCGCGTACGACCCGAACGATGAAGCGGGACTCTTGAAGGAGCTTGTTTTGCAAGTGCGCAAAGTGATCGGTCCCTTCGCGGCACCGAAGAGGGTGTACATCGTCCCCGATCTCCCCAAGACTCGCTCGGGCAAGGTGCGTTTCGTTACCCTTCCCTCTGACCTGGTGTCCGTTGACTGATGTGCCGTCTCGTACCCGGCGCTCTCCAGATCATGCGCCGCATAATGCGCAAGATCGTCGCGGGCGAAGGCGATCAACTCGGGGATCTCAGCACGCTGGCGGAGCCGGGTGTTGTCGAGATTATCAAGCAGAAGGTCGCCGGGAAGTGAGCGCACTGGCTGTGTGAGATGGCCGTTGATGCAGATTTATTGTGTCAGGGTATGATCTATGCCACCCATGTGCGGCGCGATGATTGAATTATGGTATTGGCTGATCATGGGTTGGATGGGTCCGAGGCGTCTGTTTATTGTACGTTGTTTGACTGTTGTGATACCAGAAGAGTATATATTGTGTATCATGTCGTGTTGCGAGTATCGACCTTGAGTGTCCCATATGAACTAATCAGAGTCGGTTGTGCTCGGGTGTTACCGGAAGTTCCTTGCAGACATCGGGAATTGGGACAATTGCGCGTTGTGACGAGAAACGGCTTGCCCGTATTTTTCTAGGAGTTTCAACAGAAGCTAAAACAAGAGTAACTAGACTCACCCAAAGAAGCGCTTTCTATGACTGAAGCTCCTGAGTAATCTTTATCAATATTGTTAGGACTGCATGCTCCCGACTACATAGATCAGATGGAAGTGGAGGTAAAAGATGCGTGGGGACATTCGAACAAGAGTGACAGCTTTATATACACGTCGCCCCCCCCAACCGATCTGAGATCCAAAGAGCATCGGGCTCTGATTCGTTCGTTTGGTACAGTAGGTGACGATGGGGAAGAGGAGATGACGTACCAGTGAGAAGTGGGAAAGACAAAAAGGGAAGGTGACTTTCCCAGTATGGCAATTCGTCACCGGCGTCTTTTCGCGGCGGAGAGAGCTTCGCATTCAGGTTAAATTAACGCAGAGCCTTTAAATTTGACACCCATATACTTGAGGACGTCTGTTTCCGTGAGGCTAATGCATAGATCCCTGCACCGTCAGACACAATATGTGTAACTCTACCACATCTGCATCAGCAGGTGAGTTGATACGAAAGTGCTCTGCGCCACGTGTACAAACAAGATTAGTACTCAGTGTACGGTAGAGTCCAATGACGGATAGTGAGCTGGGTACTGTGATATGGGAGAAACATGCAGGAACCTGAAGACCAGCACTGTGTAATCCATGCAGCCATACTACAGTGTTGGGAGCACCCGCTCACGCATCGTTGCCATCTCCAATGTACGTCCATCTCGAAATCGGGACAGGGCCCGTCGCTGCAGAACGGATGAACACAAAGAACGAGAGACCAAGCCAGCCGACTCACAAGGCTCGTAAATATCGACGCGATATGCGATCATATACCACTCCTCCCGACGCATGCGCTCCACGCGCACGCGGCTCATCCGCCAGCGGATCGTCGCTCTCCAATCGACGCTCTCGAGTGACGTCAGCACGAACATGCTGCCCGGGGCCGGGTCCGCACGTCCCTCAAATATCGCAGGAATCGAGCTCACGAGCGAAGCGGCCCGTGACGCGGGCCCACGGAAGAACAACAGGTTGATGACGGGATCAAACGGGCTCGTGTATGCCCATGGCGGGCGAGCGATGACGGGTGGCTCCGCCTCAGCCTCAAATAGCACTATGTCTTCGAGCGGCGGGAGCGGCGTGGCTTGAGTGGGGAGCGTGATGGGGAACGGGAGCCCCGCCTGCACTGTCGCGAGCAAGGTCTCGAGCTCGACGAGCCAGGGATCGAGCCGGAGGCGACGGCGTGACACACGCCGGTGGGCGTCCGCGAGCGGGATAGGGTAGAAATCGCGATATGGGACGAGATCCGTGGCGATGCCGCCCGAGAGGATTCCCTTGAGGAATTCGGAGAGCCAGTGCGCGGGGAAGCCTACACGGTGGAGGTGGATGAGAAGCCCGACGAAGGCCGCTAGGTTGTGCGGCAGGCGGATCTTGTACGGTGCAGGTTTGCTCTTGCCGGGTACGACCGTGTACAGGAGTACACGGGTGAGCCATGTCGTAAGCTCCTCACGGGATGCCAGCTCGGAGAGCGGGCGAGGAAGCGGTTGACTGCCCAGTGACAGTACCGCCATCACAGCCTCTTTACAAATTACTTTGCAGCCCAGGTACCGTGGTAAATCAGCAAACGTAAGAAGTGTGTAACTGCAAAAACACTGTTCTATGAGAATGCAAGATCACATAGTGCGATGGACGCACGTGTAACAAAACTCCTCATCGCCATTCCAAGAGCCCGTATTGAGCAAGCAATTGGTCGCAGCCGCGGATTCCGCCTCGCAACGCAGGCTAGGAACAATGAATGCTGTCATATTCATCACGCCATGCGTATAATCCCTGCACTGAACGTTGAATAAAAAACACATAGCACCGATGACCGAAGCCACTTACTGTACATTGCTGAGCCACATACGCGTGTACAATCTTGGGAAGGAGTCCGGGCGCGTGTGATCAACCTTCAACGTCATCTTTGCCAGCTCTTCTGTAATGCCGCCCACCAAAAACTCCAAAGTGATGTGTCTCGTCAAAGCTTTGATAGCCTCTGCAACAGCGCCAAAGAACGTGGAGGAGGTCTGGAATGTGCGCGCATCGTTTTCTCCCTGGGTAGCCTTGGCGTCGAGCTGGAGACGCTTATTGAAAAGGTGGAACATCTCGATAGGCCCAAACGGATCCATGTCTAGACTTGGGTATCCAGTGGGGCACCACGCAGTGTTCTCAGTGAAGTCATTGTCCTTGCAGGGTACGTCAGTATATCCGGTAGAGATATATGTCGGAATGATCTCACAAAGAGCGTGATGTTTACTTCCCAATCGTTCTTGATGTGGTTCGTGAGCTGCATATGCGCGATATCAGAGCCGTGCGCCCAAGAACGGTGAGCATAACTACAAGCCTTTTTCTTTGCAGCTTGCGACTGCTTAGAGCCAGCCTTCGCAAGACGAAATGCTTCGTCGAACCCAGCATGGCGCTTGCGCAGCTCGGATGGAGGGAAGAACACCTTCGTCCTCTTGTACCACTTCTGCTCTCCAGTGAGCTTCTTCGACTGGTCCTCGAATCCATCCATCATGACGTCCACAAGTTTCTCATGGTGGTCCTTCACGAACTTGCGAGCCTCCGCGGCGGTCACGTTTCGCGGGAGGAACGGCGCGTTCATCAGTTCCTTGTCAGGCATATTGTTCAAGAAGCTCGAGATGACAGCGCGTTGGCCTTCGCTCTTGTTTGTGACCATGTCTTTAAATGTTGAGCCCATCCCGGGCGCGGACAATAGTTCGGCGCTGCTCTCCCCTGGTACGACATAGTCATGAGCTTCCAGAATGCCTGTCGTCGTTTTGTTGATAGGTAGTGCCCAGTAGTCGAGAATGGTTAGTATGCCTGGGATCGAATCCTTGACCACGTATATCCAGGGCGGTAGACGAGGAGGCGCCTCAGAGAGTCGGCTTCGCAGATCTCGTACCACTTGTTTCAATCTACGAACGAGAGGTCAGCAGGTAGCAAGGAAGGACAGACCGACCAACCGCTCCAAGCAATAGCGCGGCATAACGACACCAGCAAACGTATACATGAGAGTCGCACGAATCTCTGTCTGAGCAGTGGAATCAGTGCATTCCATAAGCTCGTTCACGAGCATGAAGATGCACAAGTCGCGGGCGAGCATGGCAGGATGGATGTCCAGCAACGTCATGTGGACGTGGAGCTTGGAGCGCTTTGGTTTGTTCAGCTTCTGGAAAGCATGGTGCAACCCGATGAGGCTACCATGGATATGGCGCGCTGTAAAAAGACAAGAATTGATACAATGGGACTTCCAATCAGAAGGAACGCGTACCATCGCCTACCCCTCCAAAGAAGAACGCAAGATTGGAGAGACGGTCAGAAGACAGGTCACTGAGCTTCAAGGGGTAACGATCGTGAGGGCCCCAGCCCTCCAAGATACTCATTACATCGTCCTGACCGATCTTTGATGAAAGAATAGATTGAGATATGCGTAGAATCTCGTGTAAGAGTTTGCGCCTACAGAGTAGAACTCCAATGTAGGGTCCCTAGGAGAAGAACGTCAAAGAGACTCCTGAATTAGATGTAAAGGGAGAACATACATTGTCTTCGTATAAATTGAGAAATGAGAAAACTTACTGAGAGATCTATGTGCTGCTACATCGTGTCCAGCAATGTCGGGCTCCATTTGTCTCCAGTCCTTCCAGACGCGAACAACTTCTTCAGATGCAGCGGCGTTAGAACTCGTGGAAGGTTGCTCGAGAGCTGTCTCTTCTACGTCCTTTGTATCAGTTACATGCTCCTCCAGAACTCCTTGAGAGATGGCGCCACTACGGAAGCCGTTGCACAAAGCCTTGGCGAGACGAATGGACAACCGCAGAATGAGGTCCGGTTTGGAGTCGGAACGGGAACGCAGGAGCCTCCATGAACGCAGGATAGCATTCATCGAGCCCAAGTAGTCTCCCATTTCATACAGAGCGGCGCTCAGGTTAGAGGGGTAGACAGGATCGCTTCGGTCCAATTTTTCCGCCTGCATGAAAACTGATGAGAGCGCTTGAAACAGGGTAATGGGTTTGTGTCCGACCTTTGCGTATAGCTTCGCAGCTCTTCAAGCAAAATTAGCCCAAGACGGGTGGGAATAAAATTCACGAACTCTGCCATGCTGCCAGCCTTGAAGGCGACATTGCCCTTGTCTTTGTAACCCGCTGCGCTCCCCTCCATTTCACACTATGCTAGTCTTGTTTCAAGTTGAAGCAGAGGAAGGATAAGCAGTTGAGGTAAAACGTCAAGTCGTTGAAGCTCGCGGTTCTAGAAGCCAGGTGACAGTATCGACGCGTCCGTGTACGCGTTGTTTGGCGTTGTGTAAACGTCAAAATCACAAAATTCATTCAAAACTCGGTTATTGCACACGCTCTATTACCTCTCGATATGACAATTGCGTATCAAAGTAATGTGTTGTGTGCTGTTACTGAACATACAATGCGTTGAATGCATGCGAGTGCGTGGCGTACTTGACAGGTATGTACGTAGCCAGCGAAGAGTGTCGGACAGTTCCTCACGCCAGAACTCCTCTGAATTTCTATCACGCCGTACGTACGCATCTGCTTTCTTTTTCTCGTCTTTGCCTAGTAGAAAAAAACGTCTATGGTCGATCCGAACAAAAATCCACAGTGAGCTCGTGCTGGTCTTGGCTTTAAGATTCTTATTCACCCACAGTCAGGTCACGACAAATTGAACGTCGTTCAGGTGCATAATCTGTCCTGCAAAAACCAAGTGACCGTGTACAACTTGATTAGATGCTCGGACAGCATCCCATCTAGTTATATAAAGCCATGCGGGTCTTGCGTAGCGACAAAGAATTCCTATAGCCTCGAGCAAAATCCACCGTCCACTGCATCGATAAGTTCAGTTTGTCCTTCAAATTCCATCGATGCAGAATCATATGTTCAGCGCTTTGCCGGATGGTTATCCACTCACCGGCAAATCCGGCCCGTTGTCGCCGGCCCGCCTCGACGTCGTCATTGCTCTTCGTCTGAGCCTGCAGGCACACCAATCTGATCTCTCCACAGACCGCCCCGCCCGCTTGACAAGAGACTTCCCGGGCGCTGCAGTGACCATGGCCTCCCCATCCGACCCCGCGACACGCAACATCGTCATCATCGGCGGAGGCATCATCGGCTGCACCACCGCTTTTTACCTCGTGTCGCACCCGCTCTTCGCGGCGGAGTCCACCCGAATAACGCTACTCGAGGCCTCCGAGCATGGCGTCGCACAGGGCGCCTCGGGAAAGGCAGGGGGTCTCGTCGCGAAATGGGCGTACCCGAAGGAATTAGTGAACGTCTCCTTCCCGGAACACGTCCGGCTCGCGCAGGAATACAACGGGGCCGAGCGATGGGGCTGGCGGTTCGTGGGCTGCGGCAGCTGGGAGGGGCGCGGTGAGGCCGTCAGCGATGACGCCGGGACCGGCGTGGGCGCAGGGGGAAAACGCAAGAGCCTGGAGAAGACCGTCGGCTTGGATGCGGACTGGAGCCAAAAGAAGCGGGAGGCGACGGGCCTCCCGGACGACCTCTTGTGGGTAAAGGCCGAGCTGACGGAGGCGTACTCGCCCATGGCACCCGCCAAAGCGACCGCCCAGGTCCACCCGTACCTTTTCACGACAAGCATGCTCGAGCTTGCCAAGCAGAGGGGGGTCGAGTATATTTCCGGGAAAGCGACCGCAATAAATGTCGACAAGTCCACGGGGCGCGTCTCCGGTGTCACCTACACGGATTCGGCATTAGCGAACCAGACGATACCTGCGACGCACGTCGTGCTAGCCGCGGGCGCGTGGTCTCCAAAAATTCTCCCGGCCCTCCCCATCGTCGGCACCCGCGCACACAGCATCGCGATCCGTCCCCAGTCGTCGGTGACGATCTCCCCGTACGTGCTCTTCACGGAAATCCAGTTCCGGTCCTCTGCTCGAGGCAGGCTGCAGCAGGTCAGCCCAGAAATCTACGCACGGCCAGACAACGAGGTCTACTGCTGCGGCCCAGGGGACGATTCCGCCATACCAGACACGGTAGACGACGTGCAGGTAGACCAGAACGCGTGCGAGAGCATCCGCGAGCACGTCGCCAGTATCTCGAACGAGCTCAGGGAAGGCACGGTGGATAAACGCCAAGCCTGCTTCCTGCCCATCGTGGGCTCTGGCGGGGGGCCTATCGTCGGCGAGGCTACGGGAATCGCGAAGGGGCTGATCATCGCCACCGGGCACACCTGCTGGGTACGTGTCGGCTCTTCGTCGCGTCCAGATATATTGACGGTGCTGGCTTGCGTGCTAGGGCATATCCAACGCGCCGGGGACGGCGAAGGCTCTCACGGAGCTGATCATGGAGGGAAAAATTAGCTGTGCGAATTTAGCGAAGCTGCAGCCTGGCGTGTATATTTGACTGTGGGCTTCATGGACCCCAATGCTTACTTAGAATATTATGCATACGGACAGACTGGATGTACCCACCTCGTATTCCGAATTTAAGGAGCGGATTTATGGTGGTGGTGAGAGAACGGGAAAAACGGCGGCGCCGTGGAAGTTGAACGCACCTTAGATTCGGACTCTTTTGAACGTCGTCTACCTAACACGCGCCGCGCGAGCCATTGGGTCCCTCCTGCCCCCTTCTCCCAGCGCGGCCTTAGCGCCGTTGGCAGATGTAAAATTCCACAACGTTGTTTCCCTTGATCCTATCGCTATCCACGACATGAGGCTCTAAAACATAACAACCGTTGAGATCAATGGCATGAGGCTCATCGTCATCTACTACGGCCGTCCCCAGCGTAGTTGTGTGGCTGCAACTACATAATCGCTGGATGATTGTGACCAATCGTTGACATGAAATTCGAGGCAAGTATTTGTAGCACAGAAAGTCAGGATCGCCTGGAAATCACGATATGCACAGGGTATGTATTGCATTAGAGGGATGGTATACCAGCTAGCTATGTCGAATCATCGCGCACTACATGGGGGTTACAACTAAGCGGAAACGCTGCGAGAGACTAGAGTAGATAACACGAGCTCAGTGCGTAGAATAGGTGAGATGTCGTAAGTCCTCGTCATACCACAACGTACTTTTTACGTGCTCAGCTCACATCCGAGTCCGGCTCCGAATCGACGTTGCCAACGTCCGGCGGCACGACACGGCGACGCGCGCGTATCCTCCGCGCCTCCGCAGTAACGTTCCACGCGGTGTGCACCATGTCGACGACGGCCGCGTCCGTCGGCGCGAGCGCGAGGACGTTGCGCCATAGTCCCTGGTTGTGCGCAACGTACTGCAGCATCTCCTCGTCCGAGCACAGGTGCGCCATCGCTTCCGCCATCGCCGCGGCCGCCGGGAACTCTTCGATCACCGGCGTCGGCAGGAGGAACGTCGCGAGGAGCCCGGTCGGCGTGCGCGGCGCGCGGCGCGGGTGTGGGCTTGCGCTCCTCCGCCTGCTCGAGCCGCGCCGCGCACCTGGCTGTGGGACCAGGTGGAGGCCCAGGCCGAACAGCAGCAGGAGCGGGATGGAGGGCGGATGCGGCGCGCGGAGGGGGATCGCGGGCAGGGTGACGAATTGCGAGCGCGACGCGGCGTCCCATTCCGGGACGGGGAGCGTCGACCCGGGAACACAGAGCTCGGCGGAGGTCTGTCCGATGTCGTTCTCGAATTTGCGGGAGAACTGGTCGGCGTTGATCGGCAGCGCGGGTGCGGTGGTAGGGGACGAGCTGTCGCTCGAGGGCTGTGGAGTCTCGCTTCCGAGCACTACGAGGGCGTGTGTGGGCATATGTGCGTCTTGGAGAACCTGCATGTCAACCGTCGGGGGGACGGTGCCATCTGGCTCCAATTGAACGGTCGTCTTTTCGACGTTGTATTCGTGACATAGCACTCTGCGAAGGGGGGACGCAGTCAGGAAGGGAAATTTCTAGGCATGTGACAGGAAAACAGATAAACGACGTACTCATGAGGATCATCGAACGGTTGTTTGAGTACTACGGGATATACAGAGGAAGAGAGTGGTGGTTCGTGCAATTCTGGAGGCTGTAATAAAGAGCGACTCGGGCTGGCTGGATCCGGGGGAGACGACGGGGAGAGGGGAAGAAACGGTGAGCGTGGCGACCTTTGTCGCGGTGAAGCTTGCATAGGCACTCCCCTATGCATGGAGGGGACATACAGTAGATCACGATCAGAGCTAGTCCCCAGGGGAAGAGTTGGCCCCAAATATTCGTCACGCACCTCGTGTTAACCGGAGAAATTTGCGGGATACTCCCTTAGATTAAAGTATGAGTACAGCGGGGCGTTTGGAGGACGGAGAGCGACTTGGAACGCGACTGCAAGGGGGAGATATCTGTACTTTTTGGCCCCCCCACAGACGGTGTTCTAGCGTATGCACGCTGGAGAGGTCGATTTATGTGTTTGACAACCCGACCTTTTCGACATCCGTCAAATCGGGGCCGGATCTCCATACATAGCGGCCACGAGGCTGATCCACCTACATGGCCGGGTACAAAATCACACCGCACATCAGCGAGAAATATCCCGCCCTATCACAGCAGATCCGTGTCATGGACGAGGCGGTCCTGCGTCTCATGGATGCCAGAAGAGGGGAAAGGGAAGACAGGTTAGTTTCACAGTTCGCCGTCGAAGTGCAGCGTATTTCCATTTTGAACGGGGAGCTCGTCGCGCGAGGTCGTTCTCCTTGACGACGCTGTCATTTAGCAGAAGGAAACCCAGAGTTACGTTACAGCACGGCGCGCGGTTCTGCAGAGGCTTCCTGGTCTTCGCGCTGCGCACTGCCCACACTAGTCCACAGAAAGATATGACCTTCCTAAATCATAGCCGATCATGCCCACTGGATGCTGGTATCGTCTGCTGTTCCAATGTCGACCCCCACTTACCTATGTAGGGCTCACGGAAGATCCCATGAACGTCTACAGTAGGCTATTCGCACTCGCGAGTCGCTTACAAGTCTACGGCAGAGTGCGCCAGGCGGCAAAAGGCCCGGACTCGAACCTGAGCCGGCGCCGTGAACGGACCCAATAGACCTGACAGACAAGTTCGCCGGCATTAACTCAGATTCTCCGTCGGTCCTAGGACAGAAATGCAGGTTCCTGACAGAGGACACCCCGGGGAACTGCGCATACGAATCTGCGCCGGTTCTGATCGAAGATCCCTGCAAAGGGGGAAGGTACGTACCTACCTGCCTAGCTAATGTAGTGGCTTCGGACGCCGTTGATCGAAGAACGAGGTCTCCGGAATATTAATCTGTCTGTGGGTCCGCCGCTCGCGAGAGACCAGCCGCTGAGTTGCCCGTCTGCCTTCTTCTTCAGATTAGGACACGCCGCAGCGGCGCACTGGCAGATGCGACCTTGCATGCCGATACCTTGCCGCATCACCAAATCCCGTCATGAGGACTGATGACACGACAAGCATGGCGCGCGAAAGGCAGACAATTGAAGGGAACGAAACATATGCGATTGCTATTCTCGTACTTCGTCATCCTGGTGCCTGCTTTCTCCCTCAGATTGGACACACCGCAGCGGCGCACTAGCAGACACGAGGACCCTGCGTGCCGACACTCTCCCGCATCACTGAGTACAGCTCCTGATGACACAATCAGCATAGCGCGCGAAGGGCAGACAAAAGACGAGATGAACGTGTGATTGTAACAACATACGAATCTCGTTCTTCATCATAGTACTGTTGCAGACCACTCTGCTTCAACCTTCGTGCTCTGCATATCCCCGTACATGTCGGACTTTACTATGCCATCCATGTTCGGTGCGTATCCATTCCGGAAAGACAACTTGCAGCACTATCTCAGTATCGATTCATGCGAGGAAGCACGTAATCGAAGAGGCTGGAAGGCATGGATTGATTGTAATGTACTAATATTGTACTCTGTCATAATGCTGCATAAAACATACACTAATAGGTGTCGTGCTCGACAAGTCCAAATCCAAGGGTTTCAAAGCGGATATCATATAATTCAACAATAAACAGCCTAGAGCTGGGCGCGAAGCGCAGGAGCGACTGTAGGCGCAGGCGCAGGCACGGGGACAGGAACGGGGTTGGGGGGAAGCACGCCGGAGCTGAGGACGATCGCCTGCAGGATGATCTCCCACGCGAGGTCGATCGCCTGCCAGAGCCGCGAGTCGAGCACCTGGAGCGCGCACGCGTTGCGCCAGACCCCGTTCACGCGCATCGCGGAGCGCATCAGGGCGTGCATCGTGAAGTCCTTCGCTAGGAGACGCGCGTACTGCCGCTTGGCGTCGCTGCCGGGTGTGAGCTCCTCGACGGGCGGCGGCGCGCAGGGCATGAGCGCGGCGAGGAGGCGGGTGTGGCTCTTCGAGTAGAGGTAGGCGGAGATCACGGGGAACATGTCGGCGTCTGGAACGCCGAGCGGGACTACAGGGATGGTGATGGTGGAGCCGGGGCGCTCGGGGCAGGCTGGCATCGAGGGCGGGAGGACAGGGAAAGATGGGCAGTTCGCGGCGAAGATGATCTGGTGGATGGGGTACAGGGTGATGTGCTTTGCCTGCTGGTCACGCCGCATGTCGTGGATAGCCAGCATGTGCGTCGGCATGTCCGGAGAGAGCTCGTTGACGGTGATTTCGATCTCTTTGGGGAGCTCCTTAGTGTTGCGGAGGTCGGCAGCGATGCCTCTGAGCACCCGGGCCATCCTGCAGAACGTGAGAAGTCAGCAACCAGAGACTGGAAACTAAGCATGCCAGCGACGTACCGAGCACCCACAGCCTCCAAATTGTCGCGAATGTACTGCATCGGAGCCTCCCCCAGGTCCGGATCAATCGCAGTCATCGCCTCTCTGGACACCTCGTGGAAGGTAGGGCGGCCAAGGCGGCTGGGGAGTCTGAGCGTCGTAGGAGGGTGGTCCTGCGCGTTCGTAGTGTCGGAGGCGACGATGGGAATGCGCATCGTGACCTTGGGTTCAAGGCGTCGGCGCATGGCATGCTCTCGCGCCTCCTTGGAGAGGGTTACTCCAGAAGTGACTCTGGTGCGGCGACGGCGGCCAACCTCACGCAGGGTGGTATGAGTCGAGTGTTTCGAAGACAACTTCTGGGAGGAGAGTTGTCTGGCGGGAGGGTGGTTCTCGATGTTGGAGGACTTGCGGACGTAGAGACCCATGTTGTCGAGGAGAGATAGGAGAGTTGGAGAGGACTGGGAATGCAGAGGAGTGCAGGAGAGTGTAAAGCCGAAGTGAGGGAGACTTGAGCTGGTGGCAAAGACCGGGTGGGTAGCGATCTTATATGCTGGGACATGATCGTGACTGGGCCAATCGTGACGTGAGGCCGTCGCTTAGAGGCGATTGCTTTTCGTCCAGATTAGGGAATTCCGTTTGGTAGGCGTGTATTTGGCACCGTAGGCGTCGCTTTGGTGTCCTGCACAGAATGGAAATCCTGTGTGAGCCTCTGTGGGTCCGCAAACAATCCGCAAGCACGGGACCCTCGCGACTGCCGCGTGCATTGAACGCTTTGATTGTTGGCCTGCCGCTTTGCCTGTCCAGCTTGTCCCGTCTCCATTGTGGGCTCCGCTTGGTTCTCGTGACTCGACGAGGGATGGTCTAAAGCTCAGAATAATAGAAACATGAGTTCAGCAGCAAGCAACGCAAGACAAGGCCATGCGCGTTCAACTGCCAGGACAGAGTGTGGCAACTCTCGGTATTCGACTTACCTACACCACACTCTGTCCCAGTAAGCGTGCAAGAGACAGTACCTACCTTACCCCTACCTTGAACATGGTTAGTCTCTCTGGCATCTTGCTTATGCATCTCTTCTCAGTTCTGTGGAGCCTTCGCATTGTCGGGATGAGAATTTAGTCGTCGCCACACCCAGTCCGGCGGAGACAATGGTTGCGAAGGCTCGTAAGTTTTCCACAATGCTTTCAACTGGTTGTCCTTTGTGCATTGACAGAATGGCCACTTGCAAAGCATCGGCCAGTTGCTTGAGATCTCGTCTAGACTGTTTGGATGGACCGCAGTTTGACACGGGATCATTGCAGCGCGGAAGCTTTCCAGCCTTATTCAAAGAGGCAATCTCATCTCGAGATTCCAACATGAATAAGAATTGCGACAGTGGCTCGAAATGGCGACCGCTTTGTTGCATCGGAGCCCCGATGACGCCGGTGAATGGTATTGTTCTCCTGCGGGTTAAAGGTGCGACCTCGATCCTTGGGCAGTACCCCAAGCCTGATTCTTTGTCCCTCCACGGTCTCTCTATGCTTCAATGCATTCCCGTTCGTCAATGTGCCTACGGCGATCCATGACCTTCGGCGTTTCGTATCCTCGAGGTTGGGCGCTTGCTCCGCGTGGCACAAAGTGTCACGTGGCCAGGCGTGACACTTTGTGACGCGGCGCGGCGCTTGCGCTTTGATTCGGTCTGTGGCTATTGACGGTCGCGGAGATGATACGAAGGCGTACCTGTGCATGAAAAAGCCACTAGTAGTGAGTCCTGTAACACTTGAGTGTTGCGCTTTTGACGTGCCAAGGCCAAGTCGCGTTTGACAGACGCTGTTCTTTGCACATTAGCATCGGACATAGAGGGGAAGCACGCACCTATTGCTATGCATGCTCCTGACGCGTCCGACCATAGTTGAAGGTTTCCTTGCTGTTCTTCTGATGTTCAGTTCCACTGGTGAGTTGAACTATGTTTCTTTTACGTCTGAAGCTAATTGTGCGTCAGAACTCCGCATACAGCGGAAAGCAAACCTAGATGCGCGGCGTATAGCTCTGCGACCTTCGCGGTTTGCACCAGGCGTAGATCGATGATCAGCATTGACCATTGACCTCGTTTAAGTTTGAGGTTGCCGGTATCCACGTCTTCTACTTTGCTTTCCTGCGGTCCACGTCACGTCGTCCTCCTGGGCGCGCCGAGGCCATATGCTTCTTCAACGGAAATCCCGCATACGATAACGAGGACTTGAGAACGTTCGGCGTTTTCAGACCTTCAGTTGCTCGCTCGGCGATATCGCATGCAGCAGCCACGCCAGGGCCCGTCAGTCAACGAAGTTGGGCGACGGACGCTTGCATGGCTCTGCAGCGCAATATCGTGTGTTTCCCCGGGTTTTTCTTGGGTCGGTGCGTTGTGGGACTTCTGCTTTCGTAATTGCGTGTTTGTTCGGTGTTGCTGGGACATCGTACTTGCTGCGCCGGACTTGCACGAGCCAGAAGTACGAAGATCGTGCATCTTGTCTTGCGTTTGTCTTGTGGTCTTGTGACGCTCACCTCGTCTGGGCTGCGTACCTGCGATGCTGACGAGTCGTTATGATGGTGATGAACGGACGCCTTCAGCATTTACCCGAGCATCCTTTCATCTTCCCAGTGATGGGCCCTAGGAAGAACGAGCGAGTGAAGTTAGCAGGGTTCTCCGCTAACTGCCTGCAGTTAGTAAGGACGCCGTCAGTCCGCCGCTGCGTCTGATACAAACCGAGCGGAGAATCCTTCGAGCCAGAGAGCATGAAACTGTACGTGCATTCTTACCAGCGACCGGTCGAACATGTAAAGGGCAAGAGGAACCCGTGCGAGAGGAGGCGAACTGTCTCCTTGGGAGGTCGAGGGGGATCGAACTGGGGGGGTCGAACTGGGAGACCGCGGAGACGTGGAGGGTGTTGGGCATCGGTGTAAGGGCTATTGTCTGACGACACGTCGGAAGAGCGTTCGCCACAGTGAGACGGGGAAAGGGTATAGAGAATCGCGTTCTCGTGGTCGCCGCCGTGTATCGCAGGTAGAGACCCTCAACACGACACACCGTGCCTATAAATCAATGACGGCCAATGACACAACGTTCAGTAGGAGAGGCGTGGCCACTTCTTTGTCGGTAAGGCCAGAAGGTGTCGAAGGGAAGGGGAGTACCAAGATATGAGCCACGCCGCTGCAACCGTGGGGGCCACACAATTCGGCGACGTCGACCCTGCTTTCCGTGCGGGCCAGATAAATTGATGGCCACGTTGGCTGGAGAGAATGGGTAAGCGCGTGGCCAATAGGCGGAGTGTAGGAACTGTTTACTTGGGAGTTACCCGTTCATGGCCAAGAAAGAGAAGGCGGCTCAGGAGACGTTCCCAAACAAAGAGGCAGAGGGAGGATACGAGTGTCGAGTGTGGGGCTACAGTGCGAAGAAATGGATGGGGAATAATGTCGACACCGCGTCCAGTGGCTTCGATGAACGTTCGGTATGCGCGAACAGACGAACCGTTGGACAAGACGGGCGGAAGGCGTGTGGGATAGTAATACCTCGGCAGATGTGGGAGTGGGAGAGAGGCCGAGTGAACGGGGGATCGGTTGCGGTTCATCTTATTTATGGCCGAGTGGCGGTTGAGGGTGCCCGCCGTTCATTTGGGAAGAATCATGAACATCCAGACCCCGGACTCTGGGGACTGTCGAGGCAACCTTGGCGTCCGCAGAGTCGAACACGAGTTTGGTGGCCCCCATAGCAAAGATTGGGAGCCAAAATTCAAACATGGAACACCAGAAATGTTCGAGACGCGTGAAAAACAGCGGCCGAGGCCTATTTGAGGAGTGTGGATTGGGATTGGCAGTGGGTGGAAAACGAGGATTGCAACATGAAGACCATTGGGAGTGGCCCCTCCCGCCGTGGGTGGTTGAACAAAGACCTGCTATAACGTTCAGCGGAATCGGCCGGGACGGACAGAGCATGAACGATAGAAGGTGGAAGGTCTGTGGTGCGACTGATAACAAAAATCTGGTCGGCGTGTTGCGAGCGTCGAGGGAGGAGTGAAGAGGACAAAGAGGACAACGTGAATGTTCAAACGTTCAAAGTCAGGCATGTCCGAACGGGGCGCAAAACAAAAACAAACTCTAAAGATCGGATAAAAAAGAGGAATTCTGGGGCCAGAAATTAGCCACGATTTGTAAGATACGCAGCGTGATTTACGGTGGCCATCCTTGTCTTGAAATGGACATACTTACTGTACATGGTCAAAGGCAGTCCATGCGATGCCAAATCTCAGAAGCGTCCCAGTTTCTCACAGACCCACAGTCCTTTGATGGCACTGAGTGATTCAGTTTCAGGGAAAATATCCCGACGATGTACCTCGCTCACCTCTGTCTTCCTTCTCTCAACTTGTTTTCTGACATCGATGCCCAAAGCAACGTTTACGCGGTCACGACGGGGAGCACGTGACCGTGTCGCGAAGTTGAGACCAACAAGCGCTCAAGTTGAACTTGTCTCCTGCTTCTGGCGTCTTGCTTGTCCTTACTCCGATGTTGTTTGTCTCTGAGCTTAGGTCGATTATCTAAGGTTTTGAAGAGACATTTACGTACTTTTGACACGATTCACTAGCCTTTCGACGAGATGTCCACGACAACACAGATCCTATTCAACTCCCCGGCGCTTCATTCCCTGAAGCGCGAACAGCTTGTCAAATTATGCAAAATACATTCCATAAAGGCTTCTGGAAAGAACACAGATCTCATCGAGCGACTCAAGCAGCGTGCGCAGGAACTCCCGAAGGATGGCTCGTTAACGATGGGCGGAGATCTGGCTCCCGATGAAGATGATGACGACCCAATGTTGACGGTCCAGATGCCCAGGCCGAGCGAGCAGTGGGAAGTAGTCATGGAGGACATAGAGGAGGAGGGATCCAACATGGGCACCATGACCTCCAGGACCAACCTCTCCACCATTAATGGGAGGCCTGGTGAATTCGGGACCGGTGGCTCGAAGGGTGAGTAATTGTTAGTCTGAGCGAAGGGAGCGTCCCACACGTCTCGAGGTTGTTGGATATCCAAGGGCAGTGTAGAGCTGAATGCTGTCAGCGGGCGAGTGAGTAACTCAGCGTTACGTCGCAGAGTTACCTCGGAATGGACTGAGTGGTGTCTGAATGTCTCGTCATGCTCTTGCCGGACTGGTGACGTATGTTAAAACCCAGAGATGCTTGTATGAGATTCCTTCTGTGTGCCAAGATGTAATTCCTCGCTATCTATTTGACCGCAGACAAGAACAAGGTGCTTACTGAATTTGCCCTTCGTTTGCTTAGCATCCTCGGTTAGCTCGTCCATTAAGGCCTTGGCAACCTCTCTGGGAATCAAACGGGCAGCCTCCACCAAGTCAACTGTGAAGTCCTCCAAGAGTGTCACTTCATACCTTTCGGCTTCTCGAATCGAGGAACCTGACGCTGGCGATCTCACAGAGAACGCGATTCCATACTCCGATTTGCCGCCCTCAACTTCGCTACCACGGACCGATCGCTTCACCCTGTCGACTCCAGATCTTACAGCCCTTCGCGACACTGACGCCGACGACCCCGACGGTAGCGTCTCGTTGTCAGAACCTGTCCCGGGGACTGCGGCTCGTCCGGGAGTGCCCGCCCCCGCCAATGCGCGCCTGAGCATGGGCACGGGACTTACCACTACTATCCGACTCATCACAACTACCAACACAGTCGACACACCTGCTACCCCGCGCTTGCAGCCTCTCCAAACGACATTCGACATCCAGATGGGCACACCCGGCGTCGATCATAGTCCTGGACACCGCGTCAACATCTGGCCGGCGTCCCCCGAGAAAGACGGAGACCGACTGTATCCCACCATTCCATTTGACGATTTCCCCCCTTGGCCTGCGCAATTCAAGAAGAACGAAATGCCAGGTGGGTTAGCGGCCTCGTCTACCGTGGTACCACAGGCCACACCAGCCAAAGCCAAAGCCTCTCAACCGGCAGTGGCGGCCACTCCCGGGCCATCGCACAGCGCCGACGTCTTTTCGCCCGCCGCTCCCCCTGCGGAACCTGGAAGTGCAGCTCGCGCGGCAATCCCGCGCAGCGCGCCCTTCCTCTTCGGTTCACCGCTCCCGCAGCACAATATTTCGAATAAGACCTTTGGGCAAGCTGCCGCATCTGTGCTGGAGGAAATGAACAGGCGTCTCGCGGAGACAGGCGCACAGCAGGTCGACAAGAAAGTGGTCGAGGGGAAGGGCCTGGGGGAGAGCATCTTCGGCTCTCTAGCCAGGCAATCTACTGCCATTGATAGCGCCCATCAACGCACTGGCAGCACAGACCGTTTCGCGAAGGTGCACGAACAGACGTTCAACAAGATGGACTCTATTGCCACGCACTACGCGGCACGTCGTGGCGCGCCCACCACCGACAACACGGCACGGCAGCCTACGGCGAAGAAGCGGAAGTCTGACGTACTAGGTGTTGGTCCTCGCCCGGGTGCAAAGAGGAAGAGCAGTGCTGCCGGGGCACGCGTCATTAGCACCGGCGTACGGAAGAAGATGGGCATCCCAGGAGGCTTTGGGGATGATGATATTGATATGAGCGAGGACAGCAATGTTGAAGAGCACGAAGATCCCGGTGACCGGAGGTCGTCCAAGAGAATGAGGGTGGCTGACAGCGAGGACGTACACAAGGGCAGGCGAGTTTCTATCGCGCCGCCTAAAGTGGACGAAGACGAAGAAGACGAGAGGAAGAAACAGAGAGAGAAGGAAGCTATCCGCAGGAAGCTGGAGGCTAACAAAGCGAGAAGACGGAGCAGTAGAGGAAGAGTCAGTGTTGGGACGAAAACGTTGCCAGGTGAGGCACTCCCTTGTTTGGTCATATCAACGAGACTAGCCGCTGAGCTTTGTCCTCTCATAGCCAAAGGAAAGACATCGCGCTTTGGATTCCTCTCCTCAGCTAAATCGCTCGTTCGTAACGTGTGGAATATGGGCGCTGGATCCAAGACCGTAGCTGCTCCACCTTCGAATATACCAGTACCCAAGCCTTCTGCCATCGCGAAGCCTGCCCCCAAACCCATATTAACTGCCCCTCCCATTCATAAACCTTTCATAACAGGAGCTAACGCAGTCGAGCAGTGCACCTCTACACTTTCAGGCACTTCGTCTGCCGGTACGACGTCGAACAAGTTCCTGAAGCCGGTAGCTCCCACTGCCGCACCTACACACACGGATAAGGGAACAGTCAACTCGACAAAGTCCACAGCTGCACGTACCCGTTCGCCTATCCCATCTTTCGGTACTGCCACTCGTGCCACTTCTTCCACCACTACTTCACGTCCTGCTAGTCTCATCGGTACGTCAGCACCTAGAGCCAGCGCCTCCAGTGGTACCGCTGTCGCTCGCAATAACTCTAGGATCAGCACTACTGGTGCATCTTCTTTGGGAACCAAGAATAGCCTCGCTTCCGCGTCGTCTTCGGGAGCAGCGGCATCTTCCTTCGGTAGCAGGCGTAGCCTTTTTACTACCGCCCAGGGGGGGTCTACAAGCTCCAAACGAATCTTGAACGGTTCGCAAGATCCAGCGGATAGTTCCACTATCTCCAGGTCAAGGACATCATCACTGCTGGCTCCGACAGCCAGTTCACTCGCAAAGATGCGTCCAGCGGCAGGTCGTGCTTCGGGTCTGCCTGCCGTCGCTGAACAGCGACCACGAACCAATATTGCACCCAGGAAGTCCATGGTGTCAAAGGCCGCTCTCGACCTGATCGTGAACAATCCCGAGCCTCCACGAACAGTACCTGGCACAATATTCAGCCAACCGCTCACTAGTCCAAGCTTGATCCCTACCCCTGCGCGGAATCCATCTCTGACATTTGCCGCCACTGCAATGATGGGTTCCCCTTCATCTATTCCCAAAGCTGCTGTGCCCCCCAAACCGAAGACGCTGATCGCTCGTAAACCGCGCATCTCTCGCTCACGCGTTATCGCGAAATTGGGAGCTCAGCGAGCAGCTACCCAGTCCTCTGCCACCGCTACCTCTGCCACTGCGTCTTCTGGACGAGTGCGGTCGAGCATGGGCGCTCGACGGTCGTTTGGAGCAGTCAAGGCCGGAGGCGGATCGACCGCCGGTGCAGACCTCTTGCGGAGTGCGAAGAAGCGAGCCCGCCAGAGCGAATACGTGAGACGCAAGAGCCGTGCCACAGCTGGCGCAGGTGGTTCCACCGATATGGACGTCGATGAGTGATCATTACCTTAATGCATCTACTCTCCTCGTCTTGATCGAGATACTTTTCGTGTATCATATAGCGTCGATGACTGACCTCGACCATTTACATCCTTTTTCGTTTTTGCTGTCTTGTTGACCAAGATCCTTTTTTTGAGTATCTCATTTTGGTTCGTCTTGTAGCATTCTTGACCACGCTCGACGAGGTGACGTCTCAGACGGAGGAGACACTTGTACATCCTCCGACGAATGCCCTCTATTGATGAGCTCGCGTTGCTCTATATCAGAAAGATCCGACCTGGATTGTGTGGTCGACTCTCTCTCGAATTGTACACGTCGGCAATTTCCTTGGCCTCCTACCTGCGAAAAGCACCTCCTGCACCTCGTGACGCGTTCGTCAACATCGACACCGGGGGTCGTTGGTGCAACACTACATCTTATACTAACTTTCTAGTTGAGTGTCATTGCAGAACATTGAAGTCCAAGGCTGCCGAGGGGAGCTTCTGTTGGGTACAAGTGCACCACAACAGCTGGGGCTCGTTGTCACAGCATAACTTACAGTACAGCAAAGCCACTCAGCGAACATTTGCCAGACCCTACGAAGGTAATGGACTGTTCTCTGAAGACGTTGAAATTGTGGGCACCATCTGTGACTGCTCACTGCTGTCTCACATCATGATAAGTAGCACGTTATTGACACATTTTTTACTTGCTCAGGAAGGATGGCGGTACAAAATTCATGACGTCCGAGTGCCCTTCCACGAGCCCCCCAATTTTCTGAGGTGCCGTCGTACATTCTGTACGAGAAGCTTTGGTGAAACGGTGGATGAGCAGCCAAATATACAGATAAAATGGACTGACTGAGACGACCCGAAGGACGGGATTTTGTTTCCTGCCTCGTCGATCAAGATCATAGGACTCTAGTCTGCGGCCCGATGGAGAAATAGGGGAACTACCGGGGGAGTTCATAAAGTCATCTTGCAGGAGATCTTCTTCGCTAGTCATTGGCTGCAGATATCGAAGATCGTCAGTGTGTCAGAAGCGCCGGATATCTCGCGCGATGGGAGGTGAAGACCTACGGGGAGCATGCTCACGTATTCCTCGCCATTGTATATCTCATAGATCGACTGCCTGTGAGGGTATGTGCTCATTTTGCCATGCAGAGAGCGAACGACGGACAGCGACTGCGTGAAGCGTGAACACCTGGTCATCACACCCGAAGAGCGAATCGTCGTGGTGGAAGCAAAGAGAGATACTTGCATGAAGAACCCTCTCCCAACGTTCTCCCCACCGTTCTCCCCACCGTCCAGGTTGAGCGAACAGGGCCGGACCGAAGAACAGGATACTGACAGAATATTGCCCGTGGACTTGCATTACTCGTCCCTCGTCTCCGGAGAAGCCAGGAATCTCATCAGGACAGCTCGACCACCATGGCTGCCCAAGCTCGAGAATCAGGTCAGTGGCCTGACAAACGGACAGCTCGGCGATGTCTACCATAGAATGGGGAAACACCTCACCAATGTACAGGAGTCGCCCTGCTCATGACTCAGTCGTCGCCAACGATTCGATATCAAGAGAGTAGCAGGAGTTCCTTCGTCGAGGCAATGGAGGCCCGGGCTCCAGCGGCGACCGGTCTTGTTGCAAGCCGGCGTCGTATTTTCTCGCGAGAAGATGTCCCTGTTTAATGAAGAGGAAGCTGATCTGTACTGAATATGCTTTCGTGGCGGTTGTTAACGTAGCCGATGGCATCAAGAAGAAGACTGGAAGATCTCGGAAATAGAGTGGCGCACGAGACCAGCTCTGAAAGACGGATCGCATAGAACAAATGTACTTACGCATTCATACACCATCCTCCACCAGCAGATGAAGTTAGCACACAAATCACATCGAGTATTCAAAAAGGCAGCTAGTACACTATCCATACTAGGGATCAGTCGAAGGATCAGTATACGTACAAGGACTCACTTAGGAAGTATCACGCACAGCTTCCATCAGTCGGATAGAACTATAATTTCATGTTCTGGCTGATCACGCTGCGGACTAGTCACGGATTCAACCCTGGCCCTGGGAGAAGAGGGGCTGGATATAGAGAGCATTGACACAGCTCCGGCAAGCTTCGACGACGTGGTGGAATCTTGGGATTGCGGTTTGACTGGAGCGTCTTCACACTCAGTCCGAAGATCGGGTGAGCAGAAGGGCCCCTTTGCGTCTATTCCTGAACGTTGATACGAATAGTTGCTAGCAGTGTCGCTGTCCGAGAGTGGTGGAAGATATGGGAACGGTGTGAGTTGTGACATGGCGCTGCGAGTATTCAAGATGGGCGATTTCCGGATCTGTAAGGAAGAAGGGGCTGCTTCTGCATCTGCGTCTGTAGCCATGCCAGCAAGCGACAGGTCGGCGACAGAGCCGGGCTTCTGCCGTCGGGAATGCGCTGATTTGTGCCCTCGTTTTGGTATGGAACCATGCGTACAAAGGTGAGTGTGCAGATCATGACTTGGCGATGTTGCATTCGTGAGATGTCGAGACTCACTAGAGCCCGGAACACCGATCGCTGCTGATAACAACTGCGTGGCGCCATTAGGCCTTGCATGAACACGTTTCAGTAGGAAATACCTCTCGGATGGTCCGATAGAACATACCTTTCCCATGGAGGTTGCGTGCTTACGCCACGGGAAGCAGGTTTTCCACGCCCACGTGGTAAAATGGATGCATAGTCTGAATGGGAAGAAGGAACCGTAGACGTGTCGTAACGACTCTTCGATACCTCGAGCATAAATTTACCCTTAGCTTTCACACCAAGAACTTTAGCACCCTTGGTGCGAAAGGACTTCACAGGCGCAGATACAGGTTCATCTGCATCGTCCTCGGATCCACTGCTAACGGCGCTCAGGTCAAAGAATTCTTGTTCCTCTTTATCGTGGTCCCGGAGGGCCGACCGAGGGGTCTTCACAGCCACTAGCTTTCGTCGCATCTCGGAAGCCTTGGTTCCAGGTCGCCTTGGGGCCGGAGGAAGTTGGTCATTGTCGTCCTGCATTCCAGGCAAACACTCGTTGTCGTGTTCGTCTTCCTCCATTTCGTCGGATTCTGATTCAGGGTCGGGCACAACACCGCCTCGGCGCCGATAACACCCGCGAACCACGTCGCCCCAGAGAATGTACGTGCGACAGGATCTGCAGTGGCCACCTCGAGGGATGATCTCCGTCTGTGAGTTCTCGGATTGCAGGAAGTCGCTCGAGAGACAGGTCAAATGAGACATGGCGGTGCAACTAGGTGCTGGGCAGAGTGTAGTGATGAGCGGGTCCTGTTCCACGCCACCCGCAGTCAGTAGACAGCGATATCGAATTGCAGGAGAGGTACAGACGGGTGGACGGGGGTGGATACTGGTACAGCAAATAGAACATTTGATGTCTCCATCAGATGCGAGTACGGTTGACATCTTCCTGAGATAATCTAAAGTGAACCGGCCTGATCACTCCACCGACCGTTTAATCAGTTTTTCCGCGGACGGTTTGGGCATGGGAGACCCACCGTCGGTGACATCAATAGGGCCCAGTCTCTCCGTCCCAGTCTGACCAGATTTGCCGTCCACGCCCTCCAGTTCAGTCGCGCATGTAAAGCCGGGAGGTAGCGGAAAATTGCTGGTAGCCAACTCAGCATCCTTCCATGCTTTGGCTGCTTCAGCTGTAAATAGTTTGACGTGCAGGGGCCATGTATTGAACGGGTGAGAGGAAACCATGCTCCGAGCTACCCTGGCAGTGAGATTTCAGTATCACCCATGCACTAGAAGATGATGCGTACGAACAAAACATTGCTTCTGAGATAGTTGAACTTCCTATGGCCACTGAAGACAGCCTGCACTTCCTCGTCCCGAAGGTGGCGAGATCTATGGGGTTGCTGCCAGGCCCATTCAAACTGCAATGCTGCGAGATTGGATGGGAACCCATGCACTATCATTTGCATCACCCATGGCCTGTTGCGCTTGGTCTTCCAGGCGCCTCCTGCGATTTCGCCATTATGCTGGCTTCATGATATATGAGCATAAGCGATGTTAAAGCAGAGATCGGAAGACAAACCGTATGCGGCGTGGTGGACTAGGGGTACTCCCAATGTAAGTCCTAATAATAATGTGTTAGTACTTCTTGCTCTGCAGCTGAGCATTACATACGAACGCAGTCGAGTGAGGAGTACGGATACTTTTCAGGAGATAACACGCATAGAATGCGGGAAAACAATGATTCCTGAGAGATGACCTGCCCTGCTTTGGCATTCTTGAGGCATTCAAGAGATGAGAAAACAGTCTAATGTTTTTATACAGATTATGCAAGAATTTCCGTGGGAGCTGTACTCACAGCCAGCGTGTTGGAAACTGGCAACCGTGACCAAAACGCGGTGAGAACACGACCAGTCACCTTGTGACTGTTCGCGACGCGACTCCGTCACAGAGGAACCCGCTGCACTCCTACTACCACCATCTTTGCGTGCTGTTCAATCGAAAAAGGTACTTAAAATCTGCTAGGAGGAAACGAAGGTATGTTGTTGTTGCTTCCCAAAATTGTAACAACTTAACCTTCGGATGTCGTTGTACCTTCCAGGCAACCAACGGTACCTAGTACACGCTTGGGCCTTTGGGAGGATAACAAAGGTTCGCTCCCATAATTCAACCCAGGAGTCGTAATTGATATTGAAACTCGAAAATTTTGGTTCCAGGCATGATGGATCCGGAAGACGCCATTTCTGTTTCATCCGACGAGGAGAACGAAGAGTATGTCGAAAGAAGAGCCATCCTCGATCCTGCAGTTCGCAGCGTCGTGGAAGCGTTGGGAGGCTACGAGGGCGACACATACAGGCTAGGAGATGAGTGTTACGGATGTTTAAAGGATCTTAAGAAGTTCTGGCGCAAGGACGATACTGACGACGAGCGCACGGTCGCACGCATCTTCTGGGAGACCCGCGTGCTGCCCAACGACCTCATACCCGTTCTGCTTGTGACCGCAGGAAAGGGATTCTTTGAGGACAAGTGCGCCGTGGCGTGCGCTGACCTCATGACCGCTATGACGTGGCCCATCGACCTGGCAGAAGAGCTGAAAGAACTTGACGAGGAATACGACAAGGGGGCAGACTACACGCAGCTGCTTCTCAGCCATCTAAATTACAAGGCTGCCCTGCTACGGCCAGGAGTTATGGAGGGGCTGTTGGGGATCATGATTCCTTGTCTCACGAAAGACGCTAAGGAGCGGAAAGAGCGGGACGTGCAGATTGTCAACGTCGTACTTTATCTAATTCGAAACCTTGCGTTCATCAAGGACCTTCCCGCGAACACGTATCTCAGTGCAGACCAGGCGGAATACTCCTCACTGCAGAGCCGGCTCGTCAAGGCTCTGTCGGATACCGGTTTCTTGGACCTGCTGTTGACAATCGCGTCGAACGTGTCAAGCAACGCGATGTTCAACAATTGGAACGCTCTCGTACTCGAGATCTTCTATCTCCTGTTCCGGGGAGTCAAACCAACATCTTTGACTATGGATCAGGCCAAGGTGTGTTCCCAAATTGTTCGTCCATGTTGTAAGAATCACATACAACTACTATATAGCAACCTGCACAGAACCTCCAACGCCTTCTGGCCGTGGAAGATCAGCGCAGGCGCGACTTCTCTCGCAAAGCGACGTCGCGCCACTCTCGCTTCGGCACTACCATCTCCATCAAGCTGAATCCCGGGAAGGCGCAGCCACGTAGTGGAGATGGAGAGAGCATAGAGAATGACCAGAATATTCCCTCGCGAAGCGCCCAGCCCTACGTGTTGCACCGCCAACAAGCGATTAGCGGTGAGGCTGGCAGCATCTTGGACCTAGCAAAGCGTCAAAGGAAAGAGAAAGGGAAGAAGATCGACGAGCTCGGGCGGGAGGACAACCTCTCGCTGGACTCTAGGGTCATCTTACAGAACCTTGCCAAGAACTTCATCGAAGCATGTTTCAACCGTAGGCGGCCTCTTCTATTGCCGGGTATATGGTTGAATGCTAATTTCGAAATGGACAGCGTTCCTGGCATCTCTGTTGAAAGACATCAAGGCTGAGAGGCCGAAGATAACCGAAAAGGATAACTTGCGCTTGCTATATGTCGCCAAGTGGTTCCTGGAGTTCTTCCTCGACATGAGAGCAAAAGGCGAAGAGTGGAAGTTCGGGCTGATCGCGGAGGTCACGGAGCGGTCATGGATCATCTGGGTGCTCAAGCGAATGCGCGAAGCGGTGGAGGAGAAGGTAGCCAACCACCCTCCAAAGCTGTCCTGTACTCTGACATAGTGCGCTTACAGCCGAAACTCTGGACTGAACTTCAAGCCGGCATCGAATGCCTCACGCAGTTGGTGCTCATTATCGACAGCATGGTCAGCGATGCGGATGAGGCGGTCGTCGAGGCTGCCGAGGTGCTTCAACAGCAGATCGTGTACAATGGCGAAGTACTGGACATCGCTTTCGATCACCTGCGGGTGTACAAGGAGGGTGTCCAGAGCATCGCATACCTCGACTCTAGTGTGCATCTAGCATATGCGCTGCTGCGGATGCTCGAGAAGTGGGCGAAGAGGCGTGGCCCAGGTGGCGAAATGTATGTCCGGCGGAAGGCGAAACCGAGGAGGAAGAAAGGTGAGCACGGGCTCTAGGTGCGCATTATATTACGGTATTTACTTTGATTAGGTAAAGGTAATGAGGATGGCGTTCCTGACGTCGAGGAGGAACCGGAGGTAGAAGAGGAGATCTTCAACGAGACTATGTTCACGTTCGAGATGTTTGAAGCGGTACGGCAGTTCCTCTCCTCCAATATTCCCGTAGTCTTATCCAAGTCCAGAAATTTGCCAACTCCGACATTACTCAGAGCCTCGTCGCATACCTCACGCGTTACAAGGATTTCGCATCTTCCGAGAACATGAAGCGCGTTGTGGGCCTGATGCATCGCCAAGCGGTGAGAGCAAAGGCGGAGGGCTTGTACTTCACGGTAAGCACTACGTTCGGTTTGCTATAGGGCTTCTACCTCAGTTTGTGTAACGCCAGGTCTCAACGCTCGACTTATTCAAGAACATTCTCAGAGAGGAGAAGTCTCTCCCGCGTGACCAGGCTCACAAAGATCTAATTGTGCTGATTAACTTCATTCTGCGCAAGTTCTTCAAAGCAGCTGCGGAGGACTCATTCGTGCTGGTCGAGGAAAGTGACCCACCTTGTTCATCCGTCAGTGACTTGATATCGGATGCAGGCCTTCTTCCCAAAAAATCGTGGTCACTGGAAACACCTTTCGAGCTGGGAGTCAGAGGAGAAGACTTCAAGGGCGGAGCGCACGGTCGAGGACACCCGCTTCCCGCCCGACGTGCAGGTGAAGAAAGGATATACGTGGAGCGAGCAGCTCGGCGTTGCCATCGCGTGCTTGGTCGAAGAGGGTAAGATGGAGCTGATAGTATGGGTTAAGCAGGTATGCATACGATTTCGTATGGAGTGTACCTATTCTAAGTGTTGTATCATCGCAGATCTTAGCGCTCGCGGTTGCCCAGAGGCAGCGGATCATTGAGGACACAGATGGTTCGTCTTCGCGAGTGAGCGCTGACGCGAACGACAGCGCCGACGAGGATGACATGGACATTGAAGCTGTGACCAAGCTCCGCGGCCCCTCCGGCGATGCGCTCGCCAAGATTACCGACTACAGTAAGCAGCCCGAATTGCGATTCAATGTTGTGTAGCGACCTGACTAAAACAACGCGTAGTGATACCGTACGTCAGCGACGAGGAGGCGAATGCAGCCACGAAGGATCCTCATCTGAAACTCGTATTCCGACTGGTCAAGTTCTTCGTCCTGGATGAGAGTATGTACAGGAACATGGTGGGTGCCAAGTAGCTAACTGACTGGTACTTTTGTAGACGCAGACGAACTCGAATGGTACATTCCCGCAGCGACCTTGCCGTCCGACATGCAGCGGAGCCTGAACGTCATCAACCAATTCCTCGAGACGCCGCTGGACCTGGGTGGAAAGAAAGCCGCGCAGCTTCTCAGCAAGAAACGGCGCAGGCGCAGGCGGCGCGCCCCGTCTCCCGACTCTGACGGCGATCAGTCCGACGAGATACCCAAGGTGAAGAAGAGGAAGGAGAAGAAGCAGAAGGAGAAGCAGCAGTACAAGTCCGCGCAATTTATCGAGGACAGTGATGTGGAGCCCGGCGACATGGAAATATTCCTGGAGAAGGAGAAGGCACTGCGGGAACGCACAGCCCTCGCCGCGGCGGCGAGCGGGCTGTCGGGCACTATGCGACCTACGGGCACGAAGAAGAGGCGGAGAAAAACCGCAGAGGGTGGGACGGGGAAGAAGAGGCAGAAGCGCGGCGGCAAGGACGCAAAGGCCCAGCTGGACTCGGAAAAGGAGCCGGACAAAGACAAGGACACGGATGTGCAAAACGAGTCGGACGAGAGCGACTTCAACATCTTCGGTTCGCCAAGGCGTTCTCCATCAACTGCTGATACATCTCCACCGGAGGTAGAGGTGCCCAAGGCAAGACCACGACCACGCCCGAGACTTGTTGCGCAACCCTCTCGCCCAATTTCTGCTGTTGGATCTCCTGCGACAGTGTTGACCAGGAAAGAGCGGGAAAAGTCTGACGATGAGCTTAACGGCTCTCGAAATACTGTTCCGGGGAGGAAAAAAGGACGGTTACAGTTGGTGATATCAGACGACGAGGACTGAGTTGTGCAACCTTATATATCCACGCATGAAATATGACGAGCGAACGCAGTCCACCCGCTATGCTACTCTTAGTAACTTAACTATATGACGAGGACTGGGATGTCGGTGCACGAACCTGTTCTGAACCGGCGCCACCGATAGGGATTGAATTTACGCTCTAAATAGCCCTGCCGCAGGGTTAAATATTAAATCCTGCTTCACTAGGAGTAAGACATTTACAGAATCGTTTACCGTCTGGCCAACGATGAACTCGGTTGATATATCTGCGAACCCTGGGTGTGAACAGATACTGCATACGTGAAGGATAGGAACTACATAAATAGTGCTACGAAGGAGCAACTAGGAACGACCAGGATACCAACGAGGCGCCACATCACTGGCGCGGCTGCGAATGTGAGTCGATGAAGGCAAGAATATCCTCGAGCACCTTTTCCTTCACGCCGTCAGGTTCGTTGTGCAGTTCATGATATGCTCCCTAAAGTGGCGTGCAGCAAAATTAGACCGCAACCGAGACCAGAAGAACGCCTGCGCACAGGGTATATCACAAGCTTCTTGTCCGTCGCCGGGATCTTGTGGTAGAATTCCTCGGTTTTGACAGGGGATGCAACCTTGATGGCAAAAGGACGTAAGGACGGCTATCAGTATTCACACATGCGAGGCCTCACTGTATCCGCAGAGCCATGAACGAACAGAATCTTTATGTAGATACATGTCAGTTGATCTCATACATGACCGGACGGCACATGAAAACATACGGGCAAATTCTCAGGCCATCGTTTGTAATCCTTGTTAAGAAGATCCTGGCCCTGCCCATCCCTGCGTCAGTACACCAACAGCCAACAGAGAACAGGAAATATTCTCACGTAGTCTATTCCATCCCCTATATATTCCAGGCTCCCAGGCGTTCCAACAAGCGGATCCTGGAGATACGCCGCATTGGTCTTCGGGTTTCGCGACAAGTCCTGGTCGGAAGAGTGAAATCAGCCCCACATAGCGTAACCGTAGAAAATAGAAGTGACACACCTTCGGTTTGTTCCTGATGGGATACAGTGCGTGGGGCATGATCCACCGAATGAGCTTTGCTATCAAATACACGAGTTTCGGTGGCAGGTGGACGAGCTGCACCGTAGGGGCAAAGCCGATGATGCCAGATAACAGAGCGACAGTGGATTGCTCAGGAGGCGCATCTTCGCGAGTCGCGAAGCCGAGAACCGCTGTACCACCCTGGGTGCCAATGGCAAACAGATATAAGATAATTCCGACGGCACGACAGCATACAAGCCGTCTTACCAAAGAGAAGCCCATGAGAAAGATAGGGAGATTTGGAAACTCGCTACGGACATGCTTGACAGCCCATTCTATATCCTCCATCTGTTCTCTCCAGTTTGCTTTTCCGTAGGAGCTGTTCGCACTCCTATGTTCCTCATCCTGCGCAGTGAGTCCAAACCCGCGCTGGTCGAACGTAAAGACCGCCACACCCCGTTGTGCAAACAGGGCATGTGTTTCGTCGTAGCGGCCGATGTGCTCCCCGGCTCCGTGCAGATATATGAGAACCGAATTCGGGGCCTCTCCGACGTAGGTACGCGTGTAAAAGTTGGTAGACGATGGCCCAACGAGCCACGCCTCAGAAAAAGCGGACATGGTGAGAGCAGTTTGAGAGCAGTGGGTAAAACCTGCTGCAAGGGTTGGACGGCGTGTTCTTTCTCCGGCTGTTGATCCTGATATCTGCGTTCTGCCGGCGGTAAGCAAGGGGAGCCAACAAGGTCTTCTTTATAGTCCACAGCATGATGTTTGCGGCCGCCACGCAGTGAGAGTGGTTTAATTAGCTTACACCGGGTGGACTGGTACTTCTAGAAGCCTGAGTACGTCGGCGCTGACATCGAAACAAGAGCACCCTTCCAGCCGTTTTGCAAACCTATAGGCCCAACCAAAAATCACGCCATAAGTCGGACATCAAACAAGCAGGTTTCGAAAGCCCATGCCGGCCTTCTCCGGCGCCTCCGCGAGTGTCAGTGGACGCCGCCCTGCCGCTGGCAGTAATGACGACCACTTTTGTCCGCACGATTATCTCGGACAGGTGCGATTTTTTGGCCCTTTTTGGCCGCACTGGGATCGAACGTCGGCCGATTCTGAAGGCCACTTTTGCCCGCCAACAGATCGGACATATTGGAGGATGTCCCAGAGTCCTGGCCTCCCTCCTTAAAGCGCCCATTAGCCGCCCGAGAAGCCTCGCGTACAGCTGCCTCGAGTGAAACTGTACAGGAATTTGGTCGTCGAAGCGCTAGAACTTCTTCCTGTGGTGCCAAAATGTTTTTATGTGGATATCACAGGACGCATAACTCCTTTTTTCCCGAGGAAATAACTTGGAAAAATGCGTGGAAATCAACAAAGTTATACTGCGGGAAAAACATGAGGAAAAAACGTGTAAAAGAACAAAGCATTTCCGCAGTTTTTCCACTGGAAATAAGTTGGTCGCCAAATATGGTAGTTTTGTCCGGGTTTTGGCATGTCCTGGCATGTCCAGTTGCCTGATATGGTAGGCAACTTATTTCCAAGGGAAAAACCGTGAGAATGTTTTGTTCTTTTCTCACTTTTTTCTCGAGGTTTTTCCTCTGAAAATATATTATTGATTTCCATGCTTTTTGCCAGGTTATTTCCAATGGATAAAAGTGGTAATGCTTCCTGTGTATGCAATATTACTGCGGTTGAGGCTAAGTTTGCGACTCACAACAATTGCCTGATTCGGAATCGACCTAGCCCACGGTCCGTCGCTTCGCCCGAGGCCTCTATTGAAGTGCCCCTCTGCACATGTTATCTGCGGTTGTAGGGTGCGGTATGATAACCGTCTGGGAATGCGACCAAATTACGAGAGCCCTAAGGTTTACCTCGGGCCATATGGTAGAAAAGGGTGGATGGACCTATGAGGAAACGGATGACAGCTCAGGCTGTTTGCTGGACGCTACTACATGGTCTCGTCGACATCGCTTTGCTTTGTGATGAGAGTGGTTGAGCCGGTATACAGTTAGAGATTGCACTAGGAGAACGCCCCGTAGGGAATGCAATTGCATAAGTCTACCAGGAGTGCGCTGGCGCGGGTGTTCGATGACGGGTGCTAATAATGAACCCAACAAGTCAGGCTATAGTGCACTCGCTTCTACCAACAACTAAGACTACTGTACATGAAATTTACAACTTGAGGGCTCATCATGAAGTGTAGAGCATGAACCGGTAGTCATTTCTGTACTAGTGAGGCTCTGGCAGGAATTTGACATTTCGCCAATACCCTACCCACTTCTCGGCATCGCTTGCCTCAAGCGGTGGTGACAAAAGACTGTCCATGAGCGTCTCGGACGCTCGGATTCCTTTATCGGATGCAACCTTTGGCAAGATGCCCATGCTTTCCGTGCTTGTGCGCTGGTGCTGATCCAGGGACTGCAAACCACGGTATACGTCCATCAGTTTGAGTGCATATATTGTGGGGTCACCAGCTTGGTCGTTTGCTTTGGAATTGCGTGAGACGGTGGCAGTGTCGATCACAGAGCTCTGCAGTCGGGCCAACCATTCAGGGTACGGTACCAAGGGGACCTGAAGCATTGACGCTATCGGTTTCATGATGATGTCCCATGTTACAGGACGTGGGTGTATGAGGTGGAGCGTCTCGGACATGGTGTTGCTCATGTCGATAATTGCTGCCGCAGCAATGTCTACGGGCAGCCAAGAGATGACCTGTTTCACCCTCCGTCAAAGCATGGCAAATGACAGCAATTTGAGCTAGCTCACATCGTCACCATCGGGTAGGCAGCCAACATGTACGCCGGACTGGACTAAGGCTGGCAACCAGTGAGTCGTGTCCCAAGCGCCATTGATGCTCCCTGTCAAAAGTCCGATCCGGATGACGTTGGTCCGTAATGACATCTTCTCCCCAGCTTCCTGGACTACTCGTTCCCCTATCCATTTAGACTCTAAATAGCCGGTCCGTGCAGCGACCTTGGCATCTAGGATAGGTGCCTCCGCACCATCCGGTAAGACGCCGAAATCTGCGAGGAGATCAGATGTGCCGGGAAAACAGATCTCGTCTCACCTACATTGGTAGACAGCAATCGAACTGACGAATGATAGGGATGGTGGTGTCTCCAAACTCGACTGAGTCGACAGGTCGAGTAGTCTACGTGTGCCCTTGATCAGGTCCTCAAAGCCGGCGAGTGGCGTTCCAAAGTCGACCTTCCAAGCTGTGCAGCTATAAGTAAAGGTAACTCGATATCGAGTGGTAGTACTAACCGTTGTGAATGATATGTGTAACTGACGACAAAAGCTACGGACGAGGTTAGTTATCCAGACGGCACGGAGATACGTTATATCTCCGACCTCGTTCACGATATCATCTGAAACGCCGAGGTCTTCTGCCGCGAGGTCACCCTCAACCAGAGTCAACTTCGGAGAGTCGACAAGTCTTGAAGGAAGTCCCTGAGCAGCGAATATTGCTGCCTGTCTCGCCCGTAGCGCGGTGCCAGTTGTACTCGTCCTGTTGAATCCATACACATGCTTCACCTCGTCCATGCTGAGCAACCTAGCCACGATGTGACACCCCAAGGCTCCCGTGGTTCCTGTAACTAAGACTACGTGCTCCGAAGGCGACGGAGAGTGCGACACAGATACCGCAGACCGAGGACGCATGTCCAGGGTATATTTGGCAACCAACTCGTTCATAAGGTCGGCCTCGCTGCGTTCCCCCCTGAATTCTTGTTTCCCTACAGCTGACTGCAACAAAGATGCTGAGACCTTCCCTTGCAATCCACGCAAGGACATGTTTGCCAATAGTTGGATCTGCGAGACTTCGACGAACGGACGGAGCACGAATGACAGTCTGGAAGCCGATAAGGAGTCCAGACCGTACGACGTGAGTGGGACTTCGGGAGAGAAATCGTCGGGCGGGATGTTGAGCACTTTCTGAACCACCTCGGCAATCCCGTCTGCACGATCTGCAGTGGACACAGGGGCAGTAGTCCACGTCGGAACGGCATGCTGACCGATTTTAGTCATTCCAAGGGTCCGATCCAAGGCTTCCCAATCCAAGTCGGGGATATATCGCTTGAAGCGCTGCCCGACAAGTTGCCTGTAGATTGCATCTTCAAGCCAGCAAATCATGTCTAGAAGGCATCACAATTAGGTTCGGTCGGCTCTTCAATACGTGTAACTGACCTTCTGTGGACAATGCCCACTCCACGAGATGTTCGAAGCTGCCACTACCGGGATCATCTCCAACTGTCATCAACGAAGAATCGAGGATACCCGGACAGATGAAGGAAAATGCGTTCGGTATACTGGACAGCGCTTCCTCCAGCGCAGTGTTAGATCTGAATAAAAAAGAATATATCTGGTATAGACGAGACGTGGATATTGACGTACGCATCGTAGTTAGATTGGCCTTCTACACCGAAAAGTCCGGATGCGGAGGAGAAGGTAACCACAAAATCGAGAGTTTCAATATCCATAGTGTCCTTCATCACGTTTAAAACACCCGATTTGGAAGCGAAGCTAGTTGAGAAATCGCTTTCGGTCAGATGCTGGAAGAGGCCGTCTGATAATGCCGCCGTCAAAATCATGCACCCCCCGAGTGGCCTGCGCAGGGAAGCAATGAGTGCTTGCATGGCGGCTACTGAGGTCGCGTCCACTGCCTCAAGTCGGATATGCAGATGTTCCTGTTCTTTGAGATAACTGATCAGGCGTCGAGGACTTCGGTTCTTTGGGCTCTGCAGGCTTTTCGCCCTAGAACGAGACGTCAAGACGATGTGGCGAGCACCTCTCTGGTTGCAAAACCTGTCAGACAGCCCCGTGATCACTGGACACCACCAAGCTTACCTCGTACATCGCTATGTGTGCGCCGAGGCTGCCAACTCCTCCGAGAAGCAAATATGTCTTCTCAGGATCGAATAGAGTACGCCGAGTAGGAACAACTGTTAAAGCATTGCTCTTGGGGGCGGTGGAAATTACCTGGTGCATCCCTACGGCTATTGTGGACATGTGCTCCTCAATGAGATCAAGCGCACAACCGAGAGCATCGCCGAATCCACATGGATCATGCTCACGAATGCCAATGAGTCCTGTCATAGCGTCATTCCATAGGAATAGTCTCCCCCGTCCTGGTTTAAGTAGAGTCTTCAGCACCTGCTGATGCGGAAGGTCGGTGTAGCCTGAGATGACCAAGTCGAAACTTCCGCCATCCAAACATGCAAGATCAACGAGGCTGGCATCCTCCGTGGTTTGTGTGAATTTCACACCCTTCGTGGAATAGACGTAGCTGACGTCTAATCCAATATTTGTATCGCAATGCGTAAGGAGAATGTGGAGCGATCGAAAGCGGTCAAGGTGATTGAAAGTACTAATTCCTGGCGCCACGATCGCGGTCGTGAATCCGGGTATGCAAAACGCCGCGGCGGGTCCAGAACGCGCTACGTGGTTAGAGATAGGACGAATTGACTCTGCATCGATTGAAAGCTGTTGTCGCGAAACGTCTGCCGTCAGCCCCGCCACCAAAGATCCCCTTCTCATTTGGGCATCGTTGCTCTCCATGACGATACCGAGGAACCCTGAGATATCACCTCGCGCAGAAGAACATTGGACGGATACGTTAACATGATTCA